ATAAATAAATAAATAAATAATATGCTGCTAATGCATTTTTATTGCAAAAAAAAGGTGATTAATTTGGGCTAACCAGTCAATCATGGTGTAGTTCCACCAGTCCAATCTTCCTGTGTTCATGAAAAAGCTGGGATTAAATCAGTCTGGGTCCCATTCATTAACTATAGCTTTGGTTAACTGCATATCACAACTTCACATTGCAAAAGATTTAATAATGTACCTCATTTTTAATCACAATTTAACCATCAGACATCTTGGCATCAGACAATTTAAAAAAAAACAGAATTAAACAACTGCTCCCATACTAATCTTAATAGATTGTTATAGGATGTAGCCCTGGAGTTTTTGCAACATTCAAGCATAGCAGTCTTGAATTTTGATTTTATCTGAGCAAAATTATAGACAAATCTTTATGATCTAGTCTCTTAAATTTCATGTGTATCAAAGGTGGGGAGGGAAGGAACATAGATGTTAGATAGAGAGGTGGTACATATTTTACACAGAAACTTTCATTTAAACAACAAACACCAAATTAATAAAAAGACAAGTAATATAAATGCGGCAGAATTGCTTTAAAAAAAGTGTGGGGGGAAGAAGTCACAAAATTTCACACTTTGAAGAGGCATCTTTCTCTCTCCACATGTTGTATCACAAAATCCTTGGGACACACTCACACTCGCACAAAATCAGTGTCCCTCTGTTTGATGTTCATGCTTTTTAACTGGCACAAGTCAAACACAAATATCAGACACAAATCTGTCATCACTCCACCAGTGCATAATCTTCAGATGGCCCACAGAACACCTGGAGTCAGCAGAAATATTCAGACCTTAAACCTTCACTTTTGAAAGTCATCTGAGAATCCATACTTGATCTGGAGCAAAGCAAAAGTCTTTCAGACTCCTCAGTGTTCCGCCGAGCCCACAGCTCTCCACCTGCCCCAACTGATCGTGGTTTAAGAGAAAGGGTTTCAAATTTAACATAGGTCTCTTTCTCCAGGTCAGCTTCCCTGGTAGATTTGGGTTTCCTGTGAAGCATTAAGACTTTGTAGAGCAAAAAAAATATTATTGGTAAAATAATCACACAAGCTACGCCACCAGCCACCAGCAGAATGGGAATCTGAGAATCTTCTTCCATTCTCATTCCATCTGTCGAAAAAATAATGCATTGGTCTTTTGTGGGTGGAATTCCTTTGGGACAGACACAGGCCATATACTGGGTACCACGTTCCAAACCATCTATGGTGACCTTATTTTTAGTTGGATCTGTGCTCAGTGGCAGCATATCTTTCTCTCCATACTTTGAGTACAACACAGTGAGAGCAGGATTACTTGTGGCATTGACGGTTTTCCACATTAAGGTCACTCTTTCATCAGTTTCAGGAATTACTCGAAGGTTCTTTACCACGTCAGTTTGTTCAGCTTCACTCAGTGATGTACCACCACGCTTCTTCGTGGTATCGACAGGCTGTTTTTTGCTTCCATTGGTAAATGTCTTGGAATTCTTCTTTCCATCTGGCATGGATTTCAATTGGCTTTGATCAGTGGTCCTCTCAGTAGTAGACCTTTCAGTGGTAGCCAGTGTTGTAGGAGGAGAATAAGTGGTTGAAGGCAATATCGTCGCAGAAAAGGTGGTCACATTTAAAGACTCTGGTTTGGTCTCTTCCTGAGTTGTGTTTTGCTGGTCTGCTCCAGGTTTTTTCCCATACTTTTGTGGAGACACCGTTGTGGTAACAACACCAACAACAGTAACCGTAACGGAAGCTTCTGACATTCCAGCCAAATTTTTTGCCTTACATCTGTAGTCCCCTGCATCTTTATAGGAAATTCCTGTCAAGCTAAGGATGGACCATCTTACCCCTTCCCCTGGGCTTTCTTGAATAACTGGAAAAGAATTAAATGTGTATAAGTGTGGCAGTCTGAACAAAAAGAAGCGGCTCTTATAATTCATTATTTATGCATTTTGTGGCACTTGAACATAATATTTCAAACATGAAGCAACTTTCCAGTAACATTTATTCTAAAAGAACTATATGATTTGGTTAGTCTAATCAGTTAAAAATTCTTTACTCTAAGTCCTAATTAATCAGCTACTATTTTGGAAGATGCAACCCTCCTTTCCTTACATAGGAATGCCTCTCATAAGCTGCTCTTTCCATAATACATCCTTTAGAGATAAACAATGGTACTTACATGAATTCTCATGTCCCATTACAACTGCACCTTCCCAAGAAAATCACTGAAAGGTCTTAAGATACATTAATTATCCCATGAACCACAATGCAAAAAAGGTAACCAAGTCCATAAGTTTGGATTCATACAATGGATAGCAAAGAAGATATAGAAGGTTGAGAAAATCAAGCTGTACCCTATTTAGCATAGCAAACTTTAATCCCACAGAAGCATGGGGTCCAAATCAGCCCAGTGCACAATCTTTTCTTACAAAATCAATCATTCTGCATCAAACAAAACAATGCGGAAAGAAACAGGGCAAGAGTGTGAATCAGACCTTTAGAAACACTTCAACGCAAACCACATTCCCTTGTAACAAACCAGCAGCTGAATTTCAAGCTGAAGGGAAGACACAGGTACCTTTCCAGATGTGAACAGCCCAATGGGTGCTCAGGCTATAAGTCATACATAGCGGCAAGATTTGCAAAGTTAGACTATGAAAGAACTATGCCTGTGCCTAAGATAATAGACCACAGCTGCTCTGTGAACAAACGCAAAAAACTGAGACATTCGTGTCAGAGAGCCAATGCATCTCTGGAGACTTATCCACAGAGCAGCTTCACCAGTTGTTTTGTTTCTTCTGAATGGGCTCCCAACCAACACTTTGTCTCTAAAATGTCATAGTCCCATTGAAAATCCATACACACAACTGTTTCCAGAACAAAATACTATATTTGCTCCTTTACTCCTTCTTGTCCTCCAGATATACACCTGTGCATCATCGGACTTCTTTTCACATGTTTTGACCCAAACCAAGAGATACTTGGAAGGAGTTCTAGTCTGAACCTAATTGCTAGTCTCAAAGGCAGTAGATTTTATGTAAGTAATTAGGGGTTGTGCCTATTTCTATTAGCGAGCCATGTGTCCATCTGGACGTACCCTAAAATATGTAAGTGCTGATTTGTAATGCAACAATTGATTCAATGAGGCTATTCTAGTTGAGACTAGTTGGAGTTAAGCCTCTACAAATACTCCTCTCCCCCACATTTGGATTTTATTTATTTCTTAAATATTTATTTATTTCTTAAATGTACACCCTGTAGTTCCTCTATGACAGCCTGTGTGGTACAGTGGATAGAGTGGGACATAGACGTAAAATTGACTCCATAGACATTAAAAACTCTATTAGGGTTTCTGTAAATCAGAAGCAACTAGATGGCACAAAGCAACAATATCAGTTCTTCCAAGAATCTAAAAATGGAGGAAATTATACTCTCATCCTGTGGTGTACATTCGTTTAGTCTCAGAAACAGAGACTGGCCCAATGAACGTTATCACTAATTTGGAAATTGAATGTCTGGTCTTCTTTGCCCTTCCTTTGTTTGAAGCAGCACAGTGCAATTAACAAATTCATCAGATACTTTTCAGTCACTAACAGGCAACATCATGAGCATTTGGGGCAACTAATACCAAATCTACTTTACCCAAGAAATGGAACGTCAATCTATCTCTAACCTAAATTCAGTCTAAATTCTGGACACATCGCTTGCTAATAGCAATAGGCACAACCCCTACACTTCACTTCATGTTACTGCTCACTTCTAAAAAGCATATACAATGAATATATACATTTTTGTGTGCATTTTTCTTCTGCTTAGAATTTCGTTGTGAAATTCAGACAACCATGGAATTTGAAGGTTAATTAAAAATTAATAATGATGTGCTTTCCAGTCGGTTCCAACTTGCTGCATGCAAATTCTAGTTTCACCCAGTAACTGCAAATTAGATCAGTTTGCTTAAAATGGTGGATCAAGTTTAAATCCTCCTACATTTGCTCCTAATCCTAGTCCTAATCCTAGAAAACCACATTGGTTTTCAACGACATGACAGGCAATTTCTAAACTCTAAGTAAGAGGATCTCTTGGAAATAAATACCTGTATAGTTCACCAATAAGTTGTCCGACCTAACCCAGATGAGTTGTGGAGTGGGATAGCCAGTCGCATCACAACGTAGTAGAACATTGCTACCCAGGGGTGAGGTGATTTTTGTGGCTGAAGTCATTACAGATGGTTTCAAACATTGTTCCAGCTCTGCTCTTTGAAATAAGATTCCAGCCAGGCTTTCAGGTCCACTGCAAGCCACAAAAGGATCGAGAAGCACAATAGCATTATCCACAATTTTTGAAAATTCAATGAGCTTGGAAATCCGACAGTCGCAATACCATGGATTGTCCTGCAAACCTGAAAATCAGAACAGAGAAAGTCATAGTCTTGCAACATTACAACTCTGTGATGCGACCAGGGTACCATCACAGTTTTCGTCTTCCAGTGTCCAAACCAGAAGAAGCAACTTTGGCAGACATTGAAACAAATCTGATATTACTTTGTTCTCAAACAATCTTCCAACAGGTGCCAAATGCTTCCATCTGCTATTACTCTATCAGTACAATTCTAAACAATTCTTTAAAAAAAAAATTGACCTGTAGCAATTTATGTATAATTTTAGCATAGCCTGTTGCCTGACTAAGATATTTGCATGATTAGAATGGGGAGAAATAAGAGATGAAGAAAATAATGTCTCTCATTCCCTTTGATTTAATAGACACACAAAACAACTTTTAATAGCGTGTCGCAATTATTTTCTCCACTTACATCCATGTTGGGAAGGGAGATTTGCAACCTTCAACCCAATTTCAAAAGCCCTCTGCAAGCAATTAAGTTCAGATCTCTGAAGAGTTTGGAAAAGTTACTTTTGGGAACTAGAACTCCTAGAATACCTCAGCCAGCATGCTAGCAAAGGGATTGTTGAAGTTAAAGCCCAGAGACAACTTTTCTAGGACCTGGACATCTAACAACTACCATCTTTTTTCCTCAGCAGCTCATTTGGCAGGGAGGAAAAGAATGAGAGGTCCAAACTAGACAAAATGTTTGAAAGAGGTTTTATGTCTTGTTTGTCGCCATACATAAGAAGATAGCACAGACATTGTCTGCACATATCTTTGAGGCATACAAAAATTAAAGGTAGACATGGGGATTGGCCATAAAAGAACTCCCAGAAGTCATAATTGATGATAACTTTACCAGCAAAAAAAAAAGGAAGAAGAATTTCAAAAAGGTGTTATTGCTGTATAGCTGTTGTAATCTGTTCAAGGAAATCTTATGTTACAAGGGACGTGGTAGCGCTGCGGGTTAAACCGCTGAAGCCTCTGTGCTGCAAGGTCAGAAGACCTGCAGTCATAAGATCGAATCCACAGAACGGAGTGAGCTCCTGTCACTTGTCCCTAGCGGTTCGAAAGCATGCAAAATGCAAAAATGTGAGTAGATAAATAGGTACCACCTTGGTGGGGAGGTAAACGGCATTCCATGTCTAGTCACGCTGGCCCACATGGGTTGGAAATGGAGATGAGCACCGCCGCCTAGAGTCGGACACAACTGGACAAATTGTCAAGGGGAACCTTTACCTTTACATTACAAGGAAACGTAATGTAACCTTATCATTAATTTCCAATTTGATACAAAAAGAAGTTGAAATGAAGGCAAAAAAGGCAGAGACAATGGACAAAAAGTTATGGCAAAAAATGCAGAGAAAAGCCACACAGACACAGCCGGCTTCAGCCCTGCCATCAGTGAGACATGGCCCAAAACAGATCCACAAGAGAATGTGGCTTTCAGTGGATGAGGGATTCCCTACAACCAACACAGGAATCAGAATAATTCTGCCCTTCCTTAGTATCTGGCCTTCCTAATGGGAACTTTTGTGGGGGCCTTATTGGGGGAGGAGGACTAATTATGTGTGTTGTAACAGTAGGCCTACAGATTTGCATATCAGCTTCCTGGTATAGAAACAGCACAAGGAACTAATAATAAAACATTAAAACTGGTTAATATGTAAGCTTTCCACAACACATTTTGCAGTCTTTCCGGGAAGAAACTAACATATCTCTCTCTCTCACACACACACACACACACACAGAGAGAGAGAGAGAGCCCTCAGGATTTCAATAATGGTTTTTTAAAAATATTTTTATTTTAGCACATGCATGAGATTTTTTTTTTTTTTTGGCACAATCAAATCTAAATGAGAAACCAGATACAGTACAGTAAATGGTGAGAAGGCATCTAATACTGAATCAGGATTAGCAGCAGTGAGTTGTGATAAACTGTAACAAGGGAAGACTCAAAGCATTTAACAGCCTATAAAGTACTATCCTCAGAGCATCCAAGATAATGTTTCAGTCCCATGACTCTTAAGGAACAGTCTCCTCTATTGAGTTTTCATTTGTTCTACATGGCTCATCCATGAAAATCATCCAAAAGAATAACCTTGTGGAGTCTGGGACATTTACTAACAAGAAACCCTTATGTGGACTGCTATGTAGCCAAAGCAGCTCCATCAAACTACAATAGTGGGGCATCAGCAAGCTTTAGGGATACCAAGGTTGGCAGATGTAACAGCCCAGTCAGGACAGAATATGCTCAGTGGGAAGACAGTGTTGACTGAAGAGGAAAGGGAACTAAACAGGATCATAATAGAGTATTGTGAAAAAGGGCATGGTTGGCTGATAGAGCTCTGAACACGCACAGTCCAACATTTTGCTATGAGCCACATTTACATATTTTGAAATGCCAATGTCCACAGCTTTCCATACTTTCTCCTCACCCCACATATGTGTTGCACATGGTTTCCAGTGGTTCCCAACCTTGGGTAACCCAGGTATTCTTGGATTGCAATTCCCAGAGACCCCAGCCAGCACAGCTCACCAGTTGTGAAGGCTTCTGGGAGTTACAGTCCAAGAACATCTGGGTTATCCAAGGCTGGGAACCACTGGTTTAGAATGTTGGACTGGCATTTTGGAGAACCTGGGTCTTGTCCACACTAAACTTTGAAACTCATTGGGTAGCACTGGAAGAGTCAATCTCCTTTGGCTTAACCTACTTCTCAAGACTGTTCATTATAAAGGATGAAGAGAATCATGCACAGCTTGTTGCTTTTGCTGGAGGGAAGGTGGGGTATAAAGTTAATTAATAATAAGTAAGTATGCAAATATCTGAGGCAAGTGTCAGCTCATATCAGTTAAGATGCTTAAAGGTGAGGCAGGCATGTAACACACGTTCAACCATGGGGTTCTGGTAAGGACATGGACGAATCAATTCAGGGTGTCAAATGCTCACCAGTCACATGGCAGTGGCATTTCTGATGAAATTTTAGGATATCGCTGGTCACCTGCTTCCTATTTAGTTTTGAAAGGCCAAACTGGAATAAAAAGAAATTGAACAATAGCAAGTAGAAGGTCACCCCAGCCACAGAACAATATTTCAATATAGGAAGAAAACAAACAGGAGCATCTTCCGCTGACCCAGGAAGGGACTCATTCAGAGGCACATCTATGGGCACAGTTCAAAGCAAGAAATTCAAAGTGTTTCCTGGCTTACCTAATACGAGCCTCTGTGTTACAGAATCTATGTTTCTGTTTGATGCTGTTTCAGAAAAAGCAAGCCAGATGTCCATGAGGTCTGATGGCAAGGAGGTTAACCTGTTGCTAGATATGTCCAGGTAAGTAAGATTTCTTAGGTACTTGCCAGCCTCAGCTGGAATGCTGGTCACTTTGTTGTTGTGTAAATCAAGGGTTCGGAGATTAGGCATCTCAGCCAAAGATTCCCAAGGGAAACTTGACAACAAATTCCCATCCAGGCGCAGCTCATGCAGCTGCTTTAAGTTATAAAAGCTGCTGGTGTCAATGGTTGCTACAGAGTTGTAGGTGAGCCACAGGTATCTGAGATCCACCAAGTAGTAGAAAGCTTCTGTCGGAATCTTTCGTATGACGGTCTTTTCTATCCGGAGTTTGACAGTGTCCACAGGAACATTTACAGGGATCTCAAACATATCAGGATCATTGCACAGCACAGACCTAGCAGCAGCCAAAGAGAGATGGCTGAGAGCAAGCAGTTTTCATGCAGTATAAACCAAACAGATCATGTTCAACTCTACTTATTTCAAAATGGCTGCATCACAGAATCAGTAGATTTCCCAGAGCCATCCCCCCTGAGATCTCTGAATCTAACAATGCAATCCTATACAAGTCTATTCAGATACAAGCTACACTAAGTTCAGTAGGACTTACATGTACATAAATATTGCATTTTAAAGTTTCATTTAGCCTTTGGAGGTTAGAAGAAGGAAATGTTGGACAACCAACTAGAATCTACTGCAAAAGGTGGCACAAAATATTTATTCTGTTATTTAAAGATGTTATGTGTGCATGGAAAAAAATGACACCCGCAACCACAATCTTGATTGTGTAGCCAAAAAGACCAGATACTGTTTACTTTTTAAAAAGTTGTCCCTTTACATTAGCAGAAATTGCTGTATATTTGCAACAAAGCACAAAAGTGATATGGTTAGCCTTTCTACACCTATATATAACTTTGCTGAAACTTGGTCTTCTTAAGTAGACCAGTCTTGCTCCTAGATTATATCCTGAGTACACACAGTTGTTATTAAATCTTAACAAAAAAAAAGGGCAACATTTAGAGCCAAATTTCATATCAAAGTGGGTTGTTTATTAGATTTTTAAAAGTACAAAATTGTGTGGAAACTCTCAGGATTAGTCATAGTAACCCCTTCCTCATGTATGGTTTCTAAACAAAGAAAGGGAAAGACAGATTAGTAAAAAGAGTAAGTATAGAATATCTCTGAAAGTACCAAGAATATATTTAGGGGAGGGATATTTAACCCCTACAAATGTGGGTTCTCTTCTCCCAAAGTTGCTCTTTTTCTAGAAAAAGGATTGAGTTTCTCATTAATAATCTGATCCGGTTATTTAAGGTGAATAAGAGATAGACAACTCAATACAAAAAAAGCATAGATATCATTTAATTATCATTTTTGTCCTTTTTAAATAAGGTATTTCTTCCTTCTCAAGAGGGTGTCATATTCTTCTACAATCTTTGATCATTAATTTGTAGATTGAGTCTCCTTGCTTGCTTTTTTCTGCACCTCCTTGGTAACAGACACATGCTCTCCCATTCTATACCCCACTCCAGTCTCTCCCACATGTGGGGAAAATACTCTTCAGCACATGCAACTCTGACTTTATGGGCTCCATACAATGGACCAGAACCTGCCTTTGTAATCCAAACTATGAGCACCTTATGCTATGACTAAGACATAGTACTTCTTGTGCTATTTTTCATGTGTACTTTTCTCCCAGATGAGGTAAAACATGACAACTAATTCAATTTTTCTGTTTGCAGAAGTGAAATAAGAAATGTGTTATCAAACAAATTGATGCAAATTAATCTCAGGTGAATGAATATGTTGATACAGAAAGAAGTTTCTAGAACACCTCACTACACTTACAGCTGAGTTCTGGGGTCTCCAAATCCCCTGCCTTCAAAAGTTTGTGTTGCCTGATCCAGATACAAGGAAAAAATCTGAGCAAGCTATTCTTCTCTGGACCCTGCATATAACTCTTCCTCCTGCTGGTAATTATCTGCTTGGTAGGGAAAAGGTGCATAAGTGTTATGGCTGCTAAAGAATTTCAGAGATAAGCAATGTAATTTGCCAGGTGCCAATCATAATGGTGCCCAAAATGGCATTGTACACATATACACAAAGGAGATACTTGGAGGCTTAGAGGTACTGAACAATTTTCATGGGTGCAGATTATGTTCAGTGGTATAAAAGCCAATGGGTTTTTTTAAAGCCTACAACTACCCCAAAACATCTCAAAGAGGACTGAACATGCTCTGCAGACAAAGAGCATGGAACAGCAGCTGTTTGTGGGAAGGGACAAAAAACTAGAAAGGGAAAAGGAAATGCAAAAAAAATGCTAAAAGGAGAGGATGGCTGACTTAAACTTGAAGGAAAAACACTGCACACTGGAATATGCTGTGGCAGTGCCCAGTTGTTGTCCAATGACACTGGTCTATTGAAAGATCAATCATAAAGTGCCATGTAGTACTTACATGCTTGATTTTTTTTATCATTACCAGTTTTGCAATCAGATAAATAGTACAGGACTGTTCCCTAAAGCAACAATGTCTCCTAGCCATTTAGCTCTTCTTTCTGTTTCAGCTCCGCTATCTGCTATATGTGATCCAATTAGATCAGATTCCCTGGCTTCCTACCCTATCCATGCCTATCACTTTATTGTTCGAGCGCTGCAAAAGATAAAACATTTTATCTTCCTGAATAATATTAATGCACTGAAAGAATAACTTACTAAACAAATCTGCACCAGTTGCTGGAACTGGGGGCCATTATTTTAAATTTTACCTGCTGCTTCCCTGCAATTGCACTGGTGGGGGTAACATTTGAAAGGAAACACAAGCCTACCTTGTTCCAGTGCCATCACTCCTGCCATGGTAAATGCAAGTGCATTGAGAAGGGCAGAAACCATCGACTTCTTCAAAAAAGCTAATCACAATGCACACCGCAGCAATCAGATACATGGCGTCCTTCCAAGACCACTGATAAATTCAGATTCTAAGTTCTTTTATTTCCCGGCACCCACAGTGTGTGCTGTGGTTGTGAATATAGGCATCCATTTAGTAAGAGCAGATTACCCTGGATTAGCTGAGATCTGTAGTTACTTAACCTTGAAATGTATTCTGCAAAGGATCAGTTGAAGCAGCTTGTTCTTTATTGTGTCAAAGGAGGAATACATGACTTTTAAATTATATCCACCGTAAAGCAGAACTGCTTGAACAGCAAATTAAATCCTGAAATTTAAGAAATGAAAGCTTCCTGCCATGTGCAGTTTAAGTCAATATGAGTGAAACATTTAATGCTGGGAAAGAGGGGAGACATCTTTTCTGCAGTGAGAACAATACGATGCACCTACAGGATGTAGCAAATGTTTAAGATTAGCCACAGCATTGTTTGAGTAAAAAACTGTCTTTTGCACTATTTGCACAGTCAGTACTTTTAAAATCCCATTGTTTTAAAATAGAAACAGAACAAAAGTATCTATCTGAATATAAATATGAGAGCACACAAAAGCTAAGATGACTGATAAAGAGTTTAATGAAATGGTTGTTGTGGGTTTAATGAAATGTGCCGATAATTAGTAACAGATGGCACCAATAACCAACAGAGCACAATAATCTTGAAAGGTGGCCTTCTGTTTATTGGAAATGTAAACTGTCATCTGCTCTTTTTTACAAAATAATCAGATACATGCCTTTTAGTACAGAATATCTGTCAGATTTAATGACTTCATTTCAGTGGATTCTTTTCAGTGAGGGTTAATGTGGCCACAAACGATTATTCTGAAATAAACAAAGCTGGTAAGAAGTATGGCTCTATTTAGCATTATTCTTATGGAATTCAATTGCTTTTTAATATGTATTACAAATATTTTAAAAATGTCCCTGTTACTTTAGTAAGACATGACTGTTACAAGCAGTTCAAAAATGCATGTGTGACTCTAGTACATTTTATTATCTTATTTTCACTGTCATTCACTCAATACTGATAACAGACTTGCACTCACACATTTCAACATTACTCAGAATTAAAGTCTTTATTTTGTTTTGTGGTACATACTAATGGCACAATCAGTGGGACAATTAAGGTCAGATCTTGGGGATGAAATACAGGAACCTGTATGTCTGCATAAATCCCTATACCCACCAGACAGCAGAAGGTGATGGGACAAGGGCTGATAGGTCCAATATCAGCACTTAGGCCAGCATCAGCAGAGTAGGCTTAATGCTTCACACCATGCTAGGTTCTCATTGAGACATGGTCATACTTGTTTCCTTGGGGAAGCAAATATGAACTGTAGCACCACAGGTGCTGCAGTGGACCAATCCTGCCTCCCAGAACTGACTGGGCTGCTATCGGGCTCTGTGCGGTGCTCTGTCAACATTGTTGCACCAATCACGGAAGAAGCCCAGTCAGCCCTTCCGCACCTCCCCACACAGCCTCCCCCCACAACCAACTCAGCAGCTGATTGGGGAGATTCCCTGTCCTGCCTCCACACTGCAGTGGTTGGCTGCACAGGGAAGCAGGGAAGGGCTGGCTGGGCTGCTTCCGAGATTGGCACAATGACAACAACAGAGCCAAGTGCCATGTGGAACCAACCATTGTGGTGCAAAGGCAGGATGGGTAGTGCCCATGTCTATTTTCATCATATTTTTGAAATCTTTTTTTAAAGTCAGAGTGTAGCTGGCTAGCAATATGCATTGGCTAGCAATATGCATGGTGATAGATATCCATATCATGTCTTTAATTTTTTTTAAATCTATTATTCTTTTCTATAAGAAAACAGTATTTCCCTCACCCCCAATACAAATGTGTTTCGCATCTGGCCAGCAGATTTAAACTCCATTTAGGCAGAACGGCACTGCGATTTTTGAGTTTTGAATGTGGAAGTACATGCGCACATTCATTTCTTAAAATCAAGAATGGCAAACTTGTTTCTGCTTTTGATCCAGTGTGTCCAAAATATAGAAGCAGTTGTACGGCAAGGTTTGGATTGGCAGTGGGAAAGAAAAATATTCATTGTATGCTTCACCTTAGAAGTAAAATAGAGTCCAGAATCTAAACTTAAGGTCAATTGCACTGTTGGGCACAATCCAAGAACAATTCCATTTCTACTGTCAGGACTGAGTACAAAGCTTGCTTTCCTGATGTTATGACACTAAGGCCAGCACATTCATGCAGCCTGGACTAGCAGTATCTCTGTCTCTAACATGGCAAACAAGGTTGGACCAAGATGCTTAGCCGACTGAGGGTAAAGGACAAGATGAAATCTCTCCACCATTGTGTATTGAATATTACATCAGCACTTGCAAAGAGACTGTATCTCCAATCACCTTGAAGGCAAGAGACTAAATGGGGCATGGGTAGGACAGGAAATGTGGTACACACAGAAAAGGCAGAGAAGAATGGCCAAATGACTTAGAAAGAACCGACATGAATGTGTCGATGGTGCTCCCATAATTTGCCACCTCTGAAAGTTGCCCCACTCTGTCTAACAATAAGGCCAGCAATGAAGAAAGGATTTGCAATGTTTATATCACTCCAGCCACAAGAGATCCAACTATGGAGTCACTTGACAAGAGAGGAGACAAAGTTATTGCAGAATAATGCATGATTATATATGAAACAGATCTGACATCTTGGAGGAATCCTCATGTAAAAGCTATGAGAAGGACGTAAACATAGCAGCAGTGTTTTCCAATAGCGGTGCTTTCCGGCAGCATCCTTAGGCAATAGTGCTCTGAGAGACATTCATTGGCAAGACATTGTTGATAGTGATCTCCTTTCGTGTTTGACACCGGATCATTGCGAAGATAGCCCTTCGAAACCTGCAGGTGGACATTTTGAATTAAACTCTAAAAATCAGTGGCAGTTTCTGCTTGGTGGGCACTCTTATGCATGATGTTCCCCATGACTGCTTCACAGTGCTAACCACCTCCTCCTCCTCCTCTATGCCACTGTTGCAGCTACGCTTCCCCTGGGCCAAATCGACTCCACCTCATAATAGGAAGATGAAAAGGTGTGCCGCAGTCACTGGTTCTCCTCCAGTAACCTCTCGATACTCACAAATTGTCCACATGTAACTCATGATAAAGATGAAGGAGGTGTTGTCCCCTTCCCACTCTATCCTGCAACAGAATTACTTACTTTTTGTTTGCAATGACATAAATACAGGGATTATAGAAGGTAGATGACTTGGCAAACAGTGGTGCTATGATTGCCATGGCAGGAGAGATTTTCTTTGGATCTCCAAAGGAAGACCATAAACATACAATAGAGTATGGAGACCAAGCCAGCAGAAACATTAAAATCATCACAACTGACATCTGTAAAAGAAAAGAAAAAAAGAAAAACATGTTGTAATGTCTGTATATACTATAGGGGCGGGGGGAGAGAGAAGAGGTTTCAAAATGGGATGGTTTGTATTTTTGTTGCTTTTAAATCTGTTTTAGTCATGCTTTTACCTACCATTTTAATATGATGTTTCTTTCATTCTTGTTTAGTTTTTGATATGGTGTTTTTAGTGATGCAAGCTACCTTAGGTCTTTTTTTTTTACAAAGGCAGGTTAGATCGATACAAAATAAATAAGTAAATAAAATGCTCCAGCACCTGCAGTTAGTCATCATAACAAAAACAGAAGTTTATCATCTCTGCTAAAAGCAGATTCATTTGTCTAACAAGATTTTGGAATGTGCGTATTTGAATGCTTACAATCTGACAGACCTTGAAGGCATCAAATCAGTTTCAGTTTACTGATTTGTCAGTTATTAAATTTAAGCACATTTGATATTCTAAACTATAGTTTAGATCAAATATTTATAAATTAAATATTTTTCCACGGATTTCATTCATTTTTGCATTTTTTGTCAGACACTACAGCAATCTATGCCAAACCATTAACCTCCTTCCATGGTAACATTTATATCAAATTTATGTCTAATCAGAATCCGCTGGTGACATAACACAGAAACACCAGAACATGGTGGGTTGTAGGCTGTCCTTATGTGCACAACACATAAACCATGTCAATGGAAAGAACTTCAGTGAGGAATTTGTGATGCAAACCAAGAATCAGTTAGAAAAGTGTTACATGCTTACTGGAATGTAAATAAAATCATTGAGACGACGGCATTTCCAGATAGGAACTGCCCACATTTCTCATGTAGATCACTAACAAATTATTTTTTTAATTGCAGGCATTGGGAACCTCTGGCTCTCCAGATGTTTTGGATGTCAACTCCCCAAAAACTCGGCCAGCATGGGCTAAAGGACTATGGAATATATTATATTCTGAAACATCTGGAAGACCAACAATTCCATACATGTTTTATTAACTGTTAACTCTCAACATCGAAAGAGACTTTCTGAAAGAAGAAGAGAAACTGTCAGAATGACCATACCTTCGTTACATCTACTTGATCAGACCAATCTATGTTGATGCCTTCCAGACAAGTGTTCCTGGCATATTGTTTCATGGTTTTTGAAACATTGTAGTAACAGAAGAACATAACGGATAACGGGATGACAAAATTTACAGCAATTACAGACATTGTGAAAGAAACAAAGGATCTGAAAATGAAAAATGCAAAGATTACAGAAATTCATGCATTCTGGATTTATTATTACTTTAGACCCAAGAAACCTTTTACGATGTTCGGAGTGTATTTTAAACATGTGACACAACATCCCAAAACAGAAATATAGTATCTTGGGCCTGTTTAGACACCAAGGTGATAATCATAAATCTACCTATCAGGGAGCAAATTATGACTATCTTATTCCTACTTGTCAGGGAGTAAATTCCATTTAATTCAATGAGTCCTACTTCCAAGTGAATGTGCATAGGATTGCACTGCCAATGTGTCCCAGGCAAGTGCCCACAATGTCCCCACCTTTTTTTTGAATATACAGATACAATTATTTTGACTCATACATGTCTGTTTCCCCAGTCTATCCATAGTGCACTGGCAAAGGATGCTTAAGCCAGTGTCCTGTTCAATGTTCAGCCCCTGATTGAACTGCAGCTGTGGCAGCTGCTGTGGTGATCTGAAAGGGTGTCAGCCATGTGTCTGATTATGTACAACTGGCACTTCATCATATCACTACGACAGCTTCCATCATTTCTCATATGTATAAATAGTGAATAGGAAACTAGCTTGCCTTTTGATTTTAAGAATGTTTAATTTTCAATTTCAAATGAAACATAATCAACCAAATAGAAATTTGGTATGAAAATCAATAAAATAAAGTTTAAAGTTTTACAGGAAAAAATAAATTCCTGCGACAATAATGGTTATCCTTGTTGAAATCCAGTAACAACATATTGCGATATATAATGATTAATACAGTGAACCCCTTTGTCTTACTCAAGGATAGAGAATGTGGGAGCCTCCAAATTTCATTGGATTTCAGCTCCCACGATCTCTCAGCATAAGCTGTGGTGGCTAGGTCTGATGGGAGCTCCAGCCGAATGGCCTCTTTGAGGACAGTTTCATGGTATAAGGAGTGCTGGTTCCTCAGAAGGTACCCTTCACCACAGTCTATCTCTTCACTGCCATTGTCACCAACTATTGTTGCTCCCTCTTCTGTTCTATTTATTTCTAGCACTTCCTTGCCTGACAGGCACAGAACCAGTACAGGCTTCACTACCACTGCTGTCTGAACCTGAGTGAGAAGCAGGTCAACATAAGAACAGTTTGCAATGGGGAAGAGGAGACATAAGTTTCAGGGGCTTGAGTTAGTGACACCTTGCTTTGGAGGGACAGATGCTCAACCGTGCCTAACCTTGATGCCAACTATAAACGCAAGCAGATTAAAGGACTACAAACACATAGACGCAACCCCTGATTGAAAACATACGCATCATTTTTCCTCCAGTTTACAGTACAAGTGGCTCCAGTTGGATCAGGGGCATAGCTTGCCCAGCCTACCACCGGCATGGAGGCCCAAAAAACTGCATTGATCCAGGCAGCAAGAATCAGGGCTGTGTAGTTCCTTGCCGTGAGTCTACTACCTGTTGACAAGCATACATTATTATTTCAATTCATTTTCTTGTCTCTTGTAACATTCTACTTTGAAGCACATACACAAAGGTTGTCATGGCATTAAAATGCTAAAATCTCTAAATATACAATATCATCAACCTAAATTATTCACACTTTGGGGCGGGAAACCCTCCTTCTTATTAATTCCAAATTTTATCTTGGGTTGGCAAAATTAGAATATGACTTATAGACTGTTGGTGTTCGTACATGCCATCAAGTTGTCTCTAACTTATGGTGACTCTATGAAAGAGAAATTTTCAAAATGTCCTGTTCTCAACAGCCCAGCTCAGTTCGTGCGGATTCAAGCTTGTGACTATATTAGGGAGTCAGTCCATCTCATATTTGGTCTTCCTTTTTTCCTGCTACCTTCAACCTTTTCCAGCATTTTCATATTTTCTTTTAGAGAATCTTGCCTCCTCATGATGTGCCCGAAGTAGGACTGCTTCAGTTTCAACATTTTTGTCTGTAGAGATAGCTCAGAGTTGATTTGCTCTAGAACCCACTTTTTTGTCTTTCTGGACTTCACCAAACCTTGTAGAGGAGAGTCAGGGAAAGCTTCTCTGTGATTCTGGTGCCTCTAGGTGTTGGGAGTGGGATTTTATAGAGTTTTAAAGGCAAAATGAATCAGCAAATCAGTTTGTGATTTGTGATTTGTTGACCTTGATGAATCATGAATAGAAACAAATTGCCATTTTTCTGATTCATGCCCTTCTGTACTTCAAATATTCTGGTCTACTGCAACTCCTGTGGTTTCTTAACACTGAGCATACTGGCTGGGGCTTATAGGAATTGTAGGCCAAAAGACTGGGAGAACAAATGAGTAAAGATTATCTTGCATACGTGCATGCAGATGCACAAACATACAAGCCAGCCACTGAACTTGTTGCCCTGCTTTCATCATTTTCTATCTCTTATTTTTCAGATCTGGTATACATGATCTCCTGTATCCAACATCAATAAAAAAAACTCTATATATGATGTTAACTCCATATCAATAACAAGAGTAATTCTGCTAAAATAACAGAAAGATCTGTTGAAAAAGAGAAAGTCACACTTTATAGAAGACTAGGATATAATTTGCTCATGAAGAAATAACAAAATATATTCATATTGGGTAAATAACTAAAATCTATCATAGACTTCATAAATGTGAGACAAATACATGTCATACCAATATGGGGCTTGCAAATTGTCAGGTAACGGTCGACAGCAACAACTGTAAGCAAACCAATACTTGCCATTCCAAAGAAGATATTCAGAGCAGCATAGATCTGAAATTTGAGACACAGTATAAAGTATTAATCCACCATTTTCTTAAAACGTTCTTAATTTCTCATTAACCTGTCAAGCCAGATGTCCAAGTTAACAAGCTTATGAGAGCTCAAGAAGGAAGCAGCTGTCCACATGTCATTTATATTCTGTTTATGAAATGGTTTCCAAAAAGGTAACCATATTACTTTGTTTTAGCATGTTGGCAAAAAAGGGGAGGGGCAAATATTCCAGCACCTTAAAAGCTAAAAAAAATTATCTTAGAATAATAACCTAAGACCTGCAGAGCTAGAAGGGACCCTATAGATCATTGAGTCCAGCCAGTTGTCAAGGAGGCACAGTGGATAATTCAACATCCGGTCTCTGGCTCCACACCCAGACGCCTAAACGGGATTTGTTTCCCTGTGAGCTTTTGTGGATCAAAATCCACAAAAACAGAACTGTTATTCTTTAAGATACCGTAATATTTTGCACACACATGTACATCTTTTGCCAACATTTATGAAAGCATTTCTTTGAACTGCTGCCAAGCTAACAAAAAAGGCCTTGTGGGTTGCTCTACCAGAATGCCATCCACAGTAGGGCTCTTGTAGCAACTCCATTGCAGTATTTTCAGCAAAACTTGACTGCTTTTTTAAATACTGATATTCCTTATTACTGGTTTTAATTTAATTTTATTCCGTTGTTTTTTACACAGTTTTACATACTACATTTATGTTCTTTGTGCATATTTTGTTCTAATTATTATTATTTTAATTGGGGAATGCAAGCAAACAACACCTGCATCAGGTCCATGGGCCAAGTGGATTCCATACCTGATTCTTTGCTTGCTATGTTCCTTCACCCTTTCTCTTTGACCCATCTCTTACCTAGCTTGTCAGAAGTGGTTGACCATGCCCATCTTCTGGGGTCACTGAGGAACTGTGCAGCTTGCCGAAGACTGCATAGGCAAGTTCTTCTCCCAAGAAGCCCAGTGGGGAACTGAACTCCCAACGTAGTTCTTCTCCCAAGAGGCCCAGTGGGGAACTGAACTCCCAACGCCAGTTGCTCAACTTTACTTGAGCTATCTGGCCACCTTCTGTCTTTCTACTGGCTTCTAATTTTCCTTACAGCTGAAGGATGAGCAGCATCCCTGTGTGAGAAGTCCTTTCCCTGCGCTACCCAAAGTAGCCACCTAGTGGCAAAGGTGATGCTGATGCTACTTGAATTAATATGTAAGGGACTCATTTCGAGAACCACATTAATCTTTTACAACCAGCCTTCTGCCAAATATGAACAGATTTACTACAGGGTCAGTTTTGTGGATTAGAGCCTACTCTGTCAGCTATTAACTCTGGGAGCACACCTACTGCATTCCATGGAGTTCTTTACTATTCTACGTAAGTATGTGTCAAAGAAGCAATCTATGGGCAGCTCTTGTTATAATCAGTGCAGAATGTTTTGTTTCAAAAAAAAAAGAAGCAGAGAAAGAGGTTAATCATAGATTGATGTAATTAATGGTCATGTCACAAATATTTGGTCCAGTTCCACTATTCTGGATAGTAGGACTGGACCAGCCGCCCCGAGTAGACTTCGGTCTAGATGGGCAGGGTATACATTTAATTCACTAATTAATTCACTAATTAATTCACTAATTAATTAATACATTGACAGACAGACAGACAGACAGACATAGATAGATAGATAGATAGATATTGATTGATTGATTGATTGATTGATTGATTGATTGATTGATTGATTGATTGATTCTTCACTCAAGGTATTTAATAGTTTTCTGGTTTTCCAAATTCTAATGTGCTGCTGGGTACGCTTATTTTGTACAGAGTCAAACAGAATATATTTGGTCCTTTATGTCTGAACATCTAAGTACCTGACAACCTGTGTAACCAAATTTCCAGCTTCCATGCAGATCTGAAGCTGCAGACATGGGGTAACCAATTCCACTCACTCCAATATCAGTGAAAGCCAGATTAATAATAATGGCATTGGTTGCTGTCCGAAGTTCCTTATATTTAACAAAGATACCTAGAACGATTATGTTACTGAGAAGACTTATGACCCCTGTCAAAAGATCAAAACAGGAAAAACAAAGCAAAAAAAATTAGTATCCGCATCCATTTGTTCAGATAAATTACATTATAAAGCTAAACTCTAAAGCAGCAACATTGAAATCCAGCTCATCATGACTCAGTAGGGCCGTTTTAAAATAAATGTTCTATCTACGAAACCTCAAAAGCAAGACTCAGTGAAGAATAAGTATGCATATATTTTTAGTATATTGCTATGAAAATTGATAGAATATATAATTTTATAGAAAAGTCTTGCTTTTGTTTTTAAAATGGGTGGTTTGGAAATGCCAACTAGTGCAAAATGCTGCTGGCTAAGGCTGGTTACCAGGAATGTGCGACCTCCTGTTACAGCTTCACTGACTGCCAGGTTTTGAGCCTTATTCAAAGTGTTCCTTATGGGCTTCATGACTCAGATCCAAGCTATCTGAAAGACTCCTCTACAAACCTGTATGTATAAAGATCCTCAGGGATGTACCTTCCCCCTCTAACTCCTTGTTGATGTAATAATGTATCTTAACCCCATGTTTTTATATTGCCACTGACGTTTTGGTGCTTCCCTGTGGAGTTGATTTTTTTAGGTTACCTGTTTTTATATTAACTTCTGAGATGCGGTGGTAGTAATTATTTTCTCTTTTTTATTGTCATTGCTGCTGATGGGATGTTTAGAAGACACCTTTTAAAACTGGCTTTTAAAAATCTTCAGCTTTCTAATTTTGCTAATCATGGCTCCGTGCATTTCTCTTTCTCGGATTTAAAAGTTAATAAGTAGGTAGCTTCTAAGACATGGGCCATGGTTAATTGTGATAATGGCCAAGAAAAGCTGAAGAATCCAAACATTCTTAGAAGACAGCTGTGCATAGAACACATTAGAAGTCATTTGCTTAATTGCAGTTTGCAGGGCATGTGTTGTTCACTTGTTCATGCATGGATGGTTTGTGCAGTTTTTCTAAATTTAAAAGGGTTTGGGGGGAGAGTAAATACGTAGGCAACTTTATGTAGGATGACTGTCAGCAGATATCCACCTAAACATACTATCATCCAACACAAAGTATCTTAATCCACAGTCCAGAAAGAACTTCTCTTCCCGTGAGACACAAAAAGCTGCGCCTTCAAAGAGCAAATGTTGTCATTCTTCTTGGTCTGTTTGAACAATAAAAGCTATGGCCTGAAACGGAGCAGAACACTCCGGTCTCAAAGGATGATTAATTCCTAGCCAATTAAACTTCCAAATGCTGCCACATGGCACATATTACCTATTGAATCCCTGGGATTATCTGCTGTGAGGAAGAGGCATTTCCTCAAAGAAAAGTCCGGTTAGCTTGTTTGTGAGGGAGATGCCCTCCCCCCATGTTCTGAAGCAATTATGACTCTGTTTCCATGATAACAAGAATGAGGCAAATCTAACACTCTTCATACAGAGACATGCTGAAATTTTCTTGGGGGTGGGGAATGAAAAAAAATACCCCTGACAGAAACTTAATTGAAGAAGTTAATCCAGAAATGTATGGCCCTCCAGATCCCGTTGGACTGCAGCTACCATCAATCCCAGCTGGCATAGCCAGTTTAGAAGGAAAGAAGGGTCTGCAGTCCAGTATTCGGACAACTACTAGTTCACGACTGTCCCTGTTGTAGCCAAGAGATGAAAACGCTCCAGGACCTGCCTGGGCTCCTCCTAAAGATATCTGGACTCTCAAACAGAGATGCAATGATCCATAGGGTCCATTCCAGCTCTGCAGGTCTAAGAATACCGTCATTATCATCATCACCACCATCATTATGAAAGTAATAATTCAACATCACTGGGGGCTCCAAGTCTCCCAATCTTTACTAGAAATTCAGAAATTGATCCTATTTAGTTCAAAGACGATTACCTCAGGTAATCAGGTACAGGACCTCACTTTCAGAAGCCATTGACTGTTTGTTAGTGCCATCATAAACTGGACATTTCACAAGGCAGCAGAAATTTAATCTTCCTGCATTTATGGGCTACTCACGGTACAGCTATACAGTTTTAAACCCTGGATTTAAAGGTTTTATTGTGGGGGGAAATTTAGATGATTATGTGTATTGTGTAAGGCACACATTTGTGTTCTATTCTTTCCATTATCACTGCATGTTTTAACAATTGCTTCTACGTTCTCAAGATATTAGAAAAACATGACACAACTATTTTTATACTAAAGAAAAATACTCTCAACTTGGTCAGTTTCAGAGTTTAAATCCTAGCATCCTCAATACAGGAAGAAATAAAACAGAATTTGTTCCTTCTGTGAAACATGTTACCTGAATTTCCTTTGGAACAAACACTAAAAAAAATTAACCTAAAATTGACAACAGACAGATTTACAACTATGGACATGACAAACTGGCTGCCTTCAGATTACAGCAAAGGGGGGGAGAGAGAATGGGTGCTACAGCAAGCAGTATCAGCCAAGGGTCTTACGAAAGTCCCGTATGCGTTTGCCCCATCATCTGTCACCAGCTGGTGGTCACTGGTGAACACACACACCTGCTTGCCTGCAGGACCACATGCTCCAGCCCTGAAGTCCAACCCTAATTGTACTACTACATGTCACCATTATTCTACGCCTGGATGAGCACAGCTGGTCATTTTCAAAATGCCCTATATGTCATTAGGTCCCCAAATCCTTCATAACTAAAACATATGGTATAAGCAAGAACTTCTGGTTTAAGCATTTTTCTTCTAGCAATCCCAATATTTTTGATAAGATGAACACAAGATTACATGGGGGAGAGCAACTGATCAAACCAAGCATGCAAAAGGTTATTCTTAAGCGTTCTTGGATGCAGAAATGGAAATGATGAAGCACTCAAAACTGCAATTGAAACAGGCAGTTACTTGCTCTTTAATAAGACAGCACTGATGAGTTCCTGCTTCTTCACGAATGCCAAGTCTACAGAGCCACTTGAAGCTGGAGCATAAAACCTCATAAACAAAAATGTGACAGAGGATAATGCCAATTGGACCATCTCTGGTATCACACCATATGAAGATTGACTTGAAGGGTTAATGAGACATTTGATAGGAAAACATCAATGGAGACTTAAGAGACAATTACATGGTTACTTATTCTGGCAAGTTATTCTACTGAAAGCACAGAAAAAATACATCCTTTTATTGAGCCCAGACATTCCTATATGGGATTATATTATTTTGCACGTTGACAGAAATCAGCACCTGTAGTGGAGCAATCCTATTCACGTCTAATCAGAGTAAACTCCAAAGTCAACTGGACTTACATCCGGTGGAATGCAAACAGAATTGCAGCCTTGAAGTTTATGATCCCACATATTGAGACTACAGCTTCCAATCCTGTTCTTAGTATCCTATTTTGTTTCTTTCTAGATTTATGTACATTTAGCTAAAGTTAATTAACATTGTCAGGTTTTCTCTTACTTTTCTGTTGCACATACCTCAGTTAATTAGTAAACCTTACTTAGTTCCAGATTCTACCAATATTCATACCTGCAGTTATCAAATAAGCTGCGACTATGTTGTGTTCAGTCTGAGAAAAAGCTGACGGAGGCTCATTTTCACTCTCCAAAGGGTTACCAGAATCATTCAAAAACATTGCAGGGAAGAGAAAATTGAGAAATCCCCTCCAGAGCAATCTTCCAAAAGGCCATTCACCAGGGGGGAGAAATACATCAACCCTTTTCAGGCAAATGTTTGCTCCATAAAAATGTCTTATAAAAAAGTTCTTCTCTCCTGAAAAGCTCCCAACAGGATTCCAGCTAAAGAGAAAAAAGGGTTTACATTCCCAGCCTTTGAAAGGGGGAGGCTTGTTAGCTCAACAAAGAACAGCACAGAGCTGTGTCTAGCTTCAACAAGATGCTTATGCTTCATGGCCTTATTACTGAAGAGATTAGCTGTCGCATAAACCCCAGATTTTGTACTTCATACTTTTCTCCCTCCCCTCCTTTCTTTTCGTTCAATGTTGCCAAAAACTGGTAAGACTTTATGTTTTCAACTTGCTCCAGAATTCTGACATGCTAAAATGCTTGCAAGCAGCAATCAAGTAAAAGTATATCTCTATTGTTATTATTATTCTCTTCTGACACAAGACAAAATGCATGTCAGCTTGAATCAAAATCTACCTATTCATAGTTTTTTGCAGACTCATGTGATAATTTGAAATCCTGGCTTAAAATACAGTGGTGCCTCGCTTAACAATTTTAATTGGTTCCAAAAAAACATCGCTATGGGAAAACATCGCTAAGCGAAACACGTTTTCCCATAGAGATGCATTGAAACCGGATTGCCGTCCTTAAGCAAAAATCGCCATAGGAAACATTGCTAAGCGATACAATGTTTCCCCCACTGGAATGCATTGAAGCCTATTCAATGCATTTCAATGGGGGGGGGGAATTTCACCAAAAATTAACAAAGACTCAGAACAAAGCCAAATTAAGTTTGCACACGTTTTAGAAGGTGCACTAACGATCCCAAACATTTAAAACAAGTTTCAAACATTTTAAGACACTTTTAAAATTGCAAAAACGGACATCACAAAACCATTGAAATGCATTGAACCTAAGTTTGACAGCTGTCAAACTTAGGTTCAGTGCATTTCAATGGGGGGGGGGAATTTCACCAAAAATTAACAAAGACTCAGAACAAAGCCAAATTAAGTTTGCACACGTTTTAGAAGGTGCACTAACGATCCCAAACATTTAAAACAAGTTTCAAACATTTTAAGACACTTTTAAAATTGCAAAAACGGACATCACAAAACCATTGAAATGCATTGAACCTAAGTTTGACAGCTGTCAAACTTAGGTTCAGTGCATTTCAATGGGGGGGGGGAATTTCACCAAAAATTAACAAAGACTCAGAACAAAGCCAAATTAAGTTTGCACACGTTTTAGAAGGTGCACTAACGATCCCAAACATTTAAAACAAGTTTCAAACATTTTAAGACACTTTTAAAATTGCAAAAACGGACATCACAAAACCATTGAAATGCATTGAACCTAAGTTTGACAGCTGTCAAACTTAGGTTCAGTGCATTTCAATGGGGGGGGGGAATTTCACCAAAAATTAACAAAGACTCAGAACAAAGCCAAATTAAGTTTGCACACGTTTTAGAAGGTGCACTAACGATCCCAAACATTTAAAACAAGTTTCAAACATTTTAAGACACTTTTAAAATTGCAAAAACGGACATCACAAAACCATTGAAATGCATTGAACCTAAGTTTGACAGCTGTCAAACTTAGGTTCAGTGCATTTCAATGGGGGGGGGGAATTTCACCAAAAATTAACAAAGACTCAGAACAAAGCCAAATTAAGTTTGCACACGTTTTAGAAGGTGCACTAACGATCCCAAACATTTAAAACAAGTTTCAAACATTTTAAGACACTTTTAAAATTGCAAAAACGGACATCACAAAACCATTGAAATGCATTGAACCTAAGTTTGACAGCTGTCAAACTTAGGTTCAGTGCATTTCAATGGGGGGGGGGAATTTCACCAAAAATTAACAAAGACTCAGAACAAAGCCAAATTAAGTTTGCACACGTTTTAGAAGGTGCACTAACGATCCCAAACATTTAAAACAAGTTTCAAACATTTTAAGACACTTTTAAAATTGCAAAAACGGACATCACAAAACCATTGAAATGCATTGAACCTAAGTTTGACAGCTGTCAAACTTAGGTTCAGTGCATTTCAATGGGGGGGGGGAATTTCACCAAAAATTAACAAAGACTCAGAACAAAGCCAAATTAAGTTTGCACACGTTTTAGAAGGTGCACTAACGATCCCAAACATTTAAAACAAGTTTCAAACATTTTAAGACACTTTTAAAATTGCAAAAACGGACATCACAAAACCATTGAAATGCATTGAACCTAAGTTTGACAGCTGTCAAACTTAGGTTCAGTGCATTTCAATGGGGGGGGGGAATTTCACCAAAAATTAACAAAGACTCAGAACAAAGCCAAATTAAGTTTGCACACGTTTTAGAAGGTGCACTAACGATCCCAAACATTTAAAACAAGTTTCAAACATTTTAAGACACTTTTAAAATTGCAAAAACGGACATCACAAAACCATTGAAATGCATTGAACCTAAGTTTGACAGCTGTCAAACTTAGGTTCAGTGCATTTCAATGGGGGGGGGGAATTTCACCAAAAATTAACAAAGACTCAGAACAAAGCCAAATTAAGTTTGCACACGTTTTAGAAGGTGCACTAACGATCCCAAACATTTAAAACAAGTTTCAAACATTTTAAGACACTTTTAAAATTGCAAAAACGGACATCACAAAACCATTGAAATGCATTGAACCTAAGTTTGACAGCTGTCAAACTTAGGTTCAGTGCATTTCAATGGGGGGGGGGAATTTCACCAAAAATTAACAAAGACTCAGAACAAAGCCAAATTAAGTTTGCACACGTTTTAGAAGGTGCACTAACGATCCCAAACATTTAAAACAAGTTTCAAACATTTTAAGACACTTTTAAAATTGCAAAAACGGACATCACAAAACCATTGAAATGCATTGAACCTAAGTTTGACAGCTGTCAAACTTAGGTTCAGTGCATTTCAATGGGGGGGGGGAATTTCACCAAAAATTAACAAAGACTCAGAACAAAGCCAAATTAAGTTTGCACACGTTTTAGAAGGTGCACTAACGATCCCAAACATTTAAAACAAGTTTCAAACATTTTAAGACACTTTTAAAATTGCAAAAACGGACATCACAAAACCATTGAAATGCATTGAACCTAAGTTTGACAGCTGTCAAACTTAGGTTCAGTGCATTTCAATGGGGGGGGGGAATTTCACCAAAAATTAACAAAGACTCAGAACAAAGCCAAATTAAGTTTGCACACGTTTTAGAAGGTGCACTAACGATCCCAAACATTTAAAACAAGTTTCAAACATTTTAAGACACTTTTAAAATTGCAAAAACGGACATCACAAAACCATTGAAATGCATTGAATAGGCTTCAATGCATTCCAGTGGGGGAAACATTGTATCGCTTAGCAATGTTTCCTATGGCGATTTTTGCTTAAGGACGGCAATCCGGTTTCAATGCATCTCTATGGGAAAACGTGTTTCGCTTAGCGATGTTTTCCCATAGCGATGTTTTTTTGGAACCAATTAAAATTGTTAAGCGAGGCACCACTGTATCTGTACACTTGGTCTGGCCTCTCTCATGCAGGCCTATCTGTTTGAAAAACCCTACTCTGTTTACCCCTGCCTAAAAATCCCTCTCCTTTAAAATATCTGTAAACTTGAAGTCTGGCCTCTCCCATGCAGGCCTATCTGTTTGAAAAACCCTACTCTGTTTACCCCTGCCTAAAAATCCCTCTCCATCTTCTGTAATAACCCAGGGAAGATTTTTACCGTATTTTTCCATTTATAAGACAACCCAATGTATAAGATGACCCCCCTTTTTTTTCTAACCCCAAATTAGAAAAAGCAGGGATCAAAGAGCTCCCTTTTTGCTAAGCCCCGTGCCTTCACAAAAGGCAAGGAAAGTGGCTGTCAAAGTGAGTGCCACTTTTCCTTGCCTTTTGAGAAGGCACGGAGCTGAGCAAAAAGAGAGTAATACCTCCCCTTCCTTTTTGCCAAGCTCTGTGTCCTTGCCTTTTGAGAAGGCACGGAGCTGAGCAAAAAGAGAGTAACACCTCCCCTTCCTTTTTGCCAAGCCCTGCATCCTTGCCTTTTGAGAAGGCACTGACCTTAGCAAAAAGGATGGGGAAGCATTTCTATCTTCCTTTTTGCTAAGCTCCCTGCCTTCTCAAAAGGCAAGGGCACAGGGCTTAGCAAAAAGGGAGGCATTTCTCTCTACCTTTTTGCTAAGCTCCCTGCCTTCTCAAAAGGCAAGGAAAAGCAGCAGTCCCTTTGAGAAACGTCTCCCCTTCCATTTTGCTAAGCCCCGTGCCTTTGCAAAAGGCAGTGATAAAGAGCTGCCTTCCATGTATAAAACGGCTCTCAATTTTTTCTAATTATTTAAGGAAAGTGTTTTATACACAGAAAGTTATTTAAGGAAAAAGTGTTTTATACACGGCAAAATACGGTACATTGGAAACTACTGAGAAAAGGCATCTGTCCTCTTAAACTTCATAAAGAAGTGGCACCTATTAACAAGCTGTTATATGACCAACATAACCCTTTGTCTTATTGTTGTGTCAATTATTACTTGAATTTTTGGCTTCCTCTTCCTCATTTCTTCTGAGTTCCTCCCCCCATCAACAATGCCCATCATTTGTCTGGAATCTGGCCGAACTGTCTACCTCTGTTCCCAATCCCTTTGTATCTCTTCCTTATTTTAGCTTTCCGTCTCCACACCCAGTCTTTTGATCCTTTTCTTCTTCCTTCATGCTCACAAAACCATATGGCAGCCAAACAATTTTTCAAAGCCTGTTACTTCCTGATTGGGATAGGGAAATAAGTTGCAGAGCAGAACAAATCTCACACATGTCCCCCATAATGAACAAAAGCCTTCAGAAGGGGAGATCTTCCTCCTTCTGGGAGCACTTTAAGCACTTTGCATACTTCGGAGTAGCCTTTTTGGCATTGTGGTACCCCCATTTTGTACAGGGGTTTGACTCCAATGTTGAGGGCAGGGACAGTCAGACTTTACCCTGAGAGAAATGGATTAAATGTTTTCAGATAGTTGTGTGAAAAGACATGACTGGGGAATCAGAAAGACAAGAATACATAAATGAAGAAATTTCTAGCATCACAATGACTTTTGAAATTTTCTGCCCAGCATGCCTTGGAGTCTCTTATTGCAAGGTACTAAGGAAGATAAATCTATCTCAGCATCTACTTCCGTCCTACTATCGTAGTACTATAGAGTGTCCTAACATATGGCATCCTCTCACAGTATGGGAGTTGCACTGAAATGGACAAAAAGGTTTTACAGAGAATTACTAAAATTGCCCAAAATATTATTGGACTTCATCTTCTAACCTTGGACAACATCTTTGCATCTTGCTGCTTGAGGAAGTCACTAAATATTCTCAGAGACTCTTCCCACCCTGCTTATAACTTTTTGAACTGTTGCCTTCTAGCAGAAGATACAGAGCAATTAGAACTTGGAAAACATTTTTGAACAGTTTTTATCCTAGAGCTATAACTGCACTTAAGAAGGAACTTAAGAATCACCAGCAGTGAATTGTTGGACTGTATTACTATCACATGGTCTGTTGCGTTGTATGTCACGTGGATACTATGACTTTTAGGTGGGATTTGGGATTGTTCTGAGAGTGTAGGTGTGTTTTTGGTCTGGTCTCTGAGTGTCCTTTGTGAATTTTGTTGTGTGTGTATACGGTATATATACATTCGATGACAATAAATTGTTATTATTAAAGGACAAAAGAAGGAAAACATACCTAAACTGTTTGTTTTGTTTGCTTTTTTTGTTAAGACCAAGATTTGCTAAATATATTTTAGGATATCTGTCAGCCTGAAATCATCTCTGGTACGGCAGTAAGGAACATAAAAGACAATATAGCTGGAGAAAAAGAAATCTGTATGAAACATACTGTATTTTCCGTGTATAAAACGACACTTTTTCATAAAATCATTTGAGGAAAAACTGAAGGTCATTTTGTACACGGAAGGAGGCAGAAGCAGAGGCAAAGGAGCAGCCACAATCAGCCACTTCTCACGGCTGCCCATTGATTGCTGCCACCGCCACCGGATCACCTCCTCCAGCACCACTCACAGACTCTCTTCAGGCAGGGGACAAGGCAGCGACGTGAACTGGAGGTGAGGCCTGGCAGGAGGAGGCGGCAATTGGACGGCGGCGGCAGCAGTCAATGGGCAGCTGTGAGAGGCGGCTGAGGGCAGCTGCTCCTTTGCCAACATCTCCTCCTCTGCCTCCTGTTGCTGCTGCCTCTATCACAGGACAGCCTCCTCCAGCAACACTCACAGGCTCCCTTCAGGCAGGGGACAAGGCAGCGACATGATCTGGCGGCGGAGGCAGCAGCAGGAGACAGACGCGGAGCCGTCCCTTGCAGCTGCCTATTGACTGCTCCTCTGCCAAGGGACAAAATTAGGGGGTTGTTGTATACATTGGGGGGTCGTATACGTGGAAAAATAAGGTACTGTACATCAGATTTGCAGCTGAAGAAAGATTACAATATTTACATCAGGAATGTATATGGCAAATTACAGGTTCAGTCATCCTAGATTCAGGTTAAAAAGCAGCTGTCAAAGGCTGCCTATTGACTGCTGCTCTGCCAAGGGACAAAATTAGGGGGTTGTTGTATACATTGGGGGGTCGTATACGTGGAAAAATAAGGTACTGTACATCAGATTTGCAGCTGAAGAAAGATTACAATATTTACATCAGGAATGTATATGGCAAATTACAGGTTCAGTCATCCTAGATTCAGGTTAAAAAGCAGCTGTCAAACTCGAAAGTTTATTTCAGACATCAGTTCAAATGCAAAGTTATCAAACTAAACACAACATTTCCTGCTCCAAAATCTTGTCATTCACAGATTAATGAGCTAGTCACACTTGGGTCTCATTTAAACCTATCTGAGAAGTCAGGATTTAAATAAGACATTGTGCCACTTAACCTGCATCCAATACTATTGCTTTTAAAGCTTCAAGATGTACGGAACTTTAAAGCTCAGTTGGAAAAAAGAAGGCTGCAACCACAGACATGCCACAAAGTAGGTATGAGTAAATATTCACATGATTGCATAGAAATGGCTTTTCTAAGAACCACTGAACAGATTTGTTTAGTTCATACACCAAGTGGCATAAAAATAATCCAAAACATTTTAAGAACAGTTCCATCAAAAAGTTGAGATTTAGGAGACTTACCATACATCTGGAATTCCGCTCCATTTTCATATAAGCAGACAACCTGCAGCACATGCAGAGCACTCCCCAGCATAAAGTTGGAAGGGATAGTTCTGCTCCCATATATAATTTTGTGCAGAAATGGAAACCTGGATACAGACATGTTGATACTTTGCTCCCAGTTAAACAGGTCTTCAGGATGCTATAAACATCTCTTCTGAACTCTGATTTATTCACGTTATAAAAAACACAAATTCCATGTGCTTTTCAAGATTAAGTGCCCCCTCCCTCGGTAATAACAGAAATTTAGTAGCTGCCTCTTGCCATAGTCTTCCTAAACAGATAGCACCCCCACAAGTCAGATGCAACCAATATGAGATTTCAGTTGTTCTTAAATTCCTGAATAATAACTGCTAGATAAAATTTCTCTGGTTTATTTGACAATGTGTAATGACAGCACATTTCTGTGCATGACAGCTCACTATTCAAATCATAGCTCTGAATGCAGGACAAAAACACAAACATCTCACCAATTCATATTGGACACCTACAAGTGTAGTTTCAACTCCACTGTTTTGCGATAAAAGCATTTTTTTCCCACATGGGTGTATCATTAATTTCTGGGTTTAAATTAAATCTAGTCGATAACCCTGTTATCTTTACATACACTTCCATGGACCCATGGGATCCATTTTAAGAATTACAAAAACCAAAATGGAAAGACACCCCACCCCCCCAAAAAAAATCTGTGTGCGGTATTTCGAGCCAGCAAACTTTTAAACTATCAGAGATTAATTTTTTTCCCAACTTCAATATGAGGTTTTTTAAAAAAATTGCTTGTTTCAAAATAACATTCCATTTAATTTCTAAAGACTGAGATCCAGGTAGATTTCAAGACAAGCATTTGTACTTCTTCTTAAACTGTCCCATTTGAATACGAAGTCCATGAATCATAGATAGGCAAGTATTCAAACCATCCATTTTCCAGTACTGTCAAGTTAAAAAAATCTTCTCATATTTGTAGATGAAAGCATACACTGTGTTTCCAAGAGCTTCACTTAATGTCCTCTGCCTAGTTTGAAAGAAAAGAAAGTCACAATTAGTTCTTCCACATCTAGTCTTAGCCCATAGCAAATTACAAAAACAACAGTCTGTGAAATGTACAGCTATTGCCAGCTATGTCCACCAGTGCCTGTAGCCTCACTGACATTTCAGTTTACAATTTTAGCTTTCCTTGAAAAACTAAGTTTTAATTTAAATTGCATTTCAAATTAGATAACTGAATTTAATCGTTTTATTGCCTGTGATTTTATTGTATTATAATCTTCTATAGCAGGGGTCCCCAACCTTGGGTTTTACCCAGATTTTATTGGACTACAATTCCCAGAAGCCTTCACCACTAGCTGTGCTGGCTGAGGTTTCTGGGAATTGCGGTCCAAGAACATTTGGGCTTCTCAATGCTGGGAAACACTGGGAGACCTTTGGGTAGAGTGGGCGACATATTTGGGCTTCTCAATGCTGGGAAAAACTGTTTGATAGTTTTAAACTATTCTACAAGCTGCCCTGGATCCAGTTCTAGCAGAAAAGTGGCATATAAACTGTATAAATAATTTAAAAGGGCAAGTTTAGTAACCAGGTTTCTCTAGCTATAAAAGATTTCTCAGCAATGTGTCACCCACTAGATCAGTGCTTCCCAAGCTTGGGTATCAGATGTTCTTTGGCTAAAACTCCCAGAAGCCTTTACCAATAACTGTGCTGGCCAGGATTTCTGGGAGTTGTATCCATGAACATCTGGGGAACCCAAGGTTGGGAACCACTGCACTAAATAGATATGTGGATTTACTGACAGTGCTCCATAAAGCAGCAACAGCTATGATCTGTGTTACATACTTAAATGTTTCTTGTCATTTTGACACTGCAATGCCATAATGCAACATCTCTCTGACACTGTGTAGCCCCTAAAATACACACCTTCCTAACAGCAACATTGGTGCCCTACCATGCTACTCAAGATCTTTCACTCCTACCCAAAAATGCCTAGCACTCTTGCCAATCAAGAAATCCCCTCCTTGATCTGTCTCCTGGGGACTCCCTGTGCTTTTAGCACGGAAAGCACAGTACGCTATATAGGATGTGGGTACTGTTAACGAACATATCATCCTCAGAACATCAGCCTGACCTTTTGAGAGCTACCACTGCAACACAAAATACTAATAACCCTCTCCTGCATTTTCATGCTACATGGGGGGAAAACTGGTGGACAAGCTATTGGGAAAGCATGTCTTTCCTAATGGATAAGAAACCCCTAATATGTTTCCAAGGAATCTTCCATTGCAAAAAATAATTACTGAACCACATCAACAGGCAAAGAACCAAATACTGAACCAATACATTAACTACAAATTCCAAGACCAACATCTGTTTAAACTCATATAAATGAATATACTTACCCCTAAACCCCCGACCACCACCTCCACCGCCTCGTCCTCCTCTGAACCCTCCACCACCTCTGCCACCCCTGAAACCACCTACAAACAGATAAAAATAGAGAAAGTTAGATTTTTTATGGCAGCAAGTGGATAAGAATAAATAGAAAGCATAGCTTTAGCAATCTATATGATTTCACTAATACCTTGCTTTCAAAACAACTTTTTTCCTTACCTCCTAGAAAGATATTTCTTGCCTTATTACAGTAGTAGCAGCTCTACTAGCTGCTCCCAATTTGGTGCTCTAGAGCAGTGGTTCTTAACTTCCTTACCTCCTAGAAAGATATTTCTTGCCTTATTACAGTAGTAGCAGCTCTACTAGCTACTTCCAATTTGGTGCTCTAGAGTTGTGCTGGACTAGGATTTCCATAATCCTCCACGGAGATCGCAGAAACTGTAATCCAACACACTTGGAAAGCATCAGATGGGTAGAGGTTGTCTCAAGCACATTACTAGAAAGAACGCTACTTACCTCCACCTCTGCCGCCACCACCTCTGCCACCTCTGCCGCCTCCTCTTCCTCCACGCCCTCCTCTACCACCTCTTGGAGGTCCTTTCTCACCTGGAGGCCTTGGCAAAAACCTCTGAAGAGGGAGCAATTTTGCCGGATCGATATAAAACTAAAACAGAAGACCGGCATTATGCTTTGCACAAGTTTCACTTTCATGTACACAAAAAAGTCTGTGGCATCTTAAAGACTAGTAGATGTATTATGACTATGAATTTTTAACTATAGCCCACTTCACCAAATAATAATGGATATTATTTAAAATGGTGAGGTTCGCTTGATCCAGTTGTTCATGACCAAGCCTCATAAGATAAATGCAACAAGTTAACCAGAGCTAACAACTGCATTTTTCAGTCCTCCATTTGCTCACTCACAGCTTAGTCCAAATGAACTCAAGAGGACTGCAGCTTTAGTTATCACTAATTATAGCTGGCAGTGCAAGCAGCAAGATATACAAATAAAAATATCAATAAAGGCTACCGCATACTGGCTATAATATTAATAAATTTAAAAGCTTAGCTCCAGGCAATGCTATAATTTTGCAAATGACAGTTTTTAATTTTTTGAACTTTTGATATTTATCCCTCATAAATATTTCATGCAAATGTATATACTAGTGGGCATGCATGAATAACATTTAGTGGTGTTAAAGGGTTTTGCATGTATAGTTCAGAATTATGAGAATCTTGTTGATGAGTGCTGCATGATACATTCACCAAATATTAATGGTCTCTTACCTTCTGTAGTTTTTTAAACGAGGAGGCTTTCATATTTTCTGATAGTTTGACTGAAAAATACTGTTAGACAATAATTCAAGGAGAATAAACAACCTTTACTTTTTCTCAATAATCATATCAATGAGTGTCCCTTCAGCCAATCATAATAGCTTTGATTCAGCATAGTCATGACTAACCTGAATTTTAATTTAAATGAGCCTCTCAGTACAACTTTGCTACCTTTTTAATAATTGAGTTAGAAGTGAACTATAGTATTTCTGAAGAATTAGAGATCAACCCATTCTCTTCTGTTGTTTATTTTTCTCAGTAATCATATCAATGAGTGTCCCTTCAGGTCATAATGGCTTTGATTCAGCTTAGTCATGACTAACCTGAATTTTATTTTAAATGAGCCTCTCAGTACAACTTTGCTACCTTTTTAATAATTGAGTTAGAAGTGAACTATAGTATTTCTGAAGAATTAAGATCACCCCATTCTCTTCTGTTGTTTACATTTTAGGCATGATTAGAATAGTAGTACATTACAAGCCCCACTTCACATTTAATAACGAACTGGTAAGTGGTAGAACAGGAATGTGTAGCAAAACCAAAACAGTGTCCTTCTAAAACAAAATTACGTAGGAAAATCCTCTTGTGTAAATTTACGGTGGTGCAAGGTGGATGATATCACCATGCAGTTTCCACAGTGTAAATTTACATCAATAGGATTTTTGGCTTCAATGTCATTAGTCATACCTGAGAATTCCTGTATCTGAGGTAATACCAAGTTTTATGGACATTTGACTCAGATGTTTAGTTCAGAAAATATATTCCAATAAAAGGGATTCTTAATCTTAGCTAATCTCTGAAGACCCAGAAAGAGCTATTCAATTTCTTTATACAACCTATGAACATAGACCATATGTTCTGGCTGGAAACAGTGAGACCACAGTCAAGAGAGAACATTGAGCTCTTTTTCTTATATCTAACATGAAGCTCTCCTATAAAGTCTACAAAATCTATAATAACGTAAAATGACCAGTGTCAAAAAGTTTAAGAAGTTCTTATATCAGGCAGCCAGGAAACAAAACCAGAAATCTGAGATCTAATCTCAAACAGAATATTTCCAGAATATTTAACAATCTTTCTACAAAAGAAACAAGAACTAGCCAATGGAGTATTTCATCTTTTCTTTGCAGATCTTCCCATTAATAAAAATGGTTTCTATGCTGACTAGGGGAGTGGTCTTCCACTCCACTATGCCCAGAAAAGAAATAGAAACTGCCAAAGGAAAAACTGGGGTGGAGGGAGGATCCCTTTCTCTTCTGGCAATCCACTGGACTATGTGCAATTCCTTTCAATCTAATAACCATACACCATCATCTATCTGGCAAATTCCGTTAGTAAGATGGATGCAATGGAATAAGGTCTCAAGATATGGACAATAAGAATGAGGTGCAGGAATCTGAGTAACACAAGCACACACACACACACACAGACTAGCATGAAAGAGGAGCCTAAAGACATCCCCTACTCATCTGCCTAGTCTCACTTTCAGAATTTTAGTAAATAAAAGCAAAAAGCAGTATTAGTCATTCCATTTTCAGAAAACATTCAGACACGCTGAAATAAAGGATACAAAGTCTCTCAACTGCCCAAATATTTCATCTATTTTTCCAATTTGCTCTTTATTTTCTAAATAAACTGGTGCATTGAAATAAGGTACTTTGTTTTCTTGAGTGGTACATTTGCAAACAATGTCATCTTCACAAGGGTGCATGAACTCTCCCACGACTGCAAAGAAAAGACAATTAATGAAATCAGAAGTCAGACAGTACCTCAACATCTTCTTTGAATTTCCATTAAGAGGAAACATAACTTACTGACTACACTTTCTGGGGGTCCCTGGTCGTATCCTCTGTTGAAGCCTCCTCGTCCTCCACCACGGCCAAATCCACCTCTTCCGCCACCCCGGCCACCTCTATTGAAACCACCACCACCTCGATTGAATCCACCACCACGATTACCACCACCTCTTCCTCGAAATGACATGCTGCTCTTCTGTTGAATAGAGAGAAGACCGTGAAAACTGACAGCTTTAGTAGCAAACCCTCTAGTCCAGGGGTCTCCAAACTATGGCCTGCATTGCCGTTTTGTCCGGCCTGTTCCCTTCAGCCTGTGCGTACTGGGGGGCGGGCGTGTGTGCGTCCATGCGGGAGCCATCTGTGCAGAGGGGTACATGTGTGTTTGGGGGGGGCATGTGTGCGAACAGAGTGTGTGTGCATGCATGCAGCCACATGTGTGCACACACATATTCCTGTTCCTTCAGCTCGCAAAAATTTGAAAATATCCAGTGTGGCCCCTCACTGTGAAAAGTTTGGAGACCCCTGCAATAGACTATAGAGTGTTTGATTTGGACTGAGCCCACTCCTCTTTCTGCCATTTGCTGCCAAAAGTGCACGGAGCTTACTGGGATCTGTATCCAACCCTATTCCTCAGAATTTGGAAGCAGTTAATGACACATGATGAGTTACTTGTAATCATTTCCTTTTTGCACTACTCAAGGCATGTCTTTAAAACCCTCACTTATTTTCTCTTTAAGAAAGCGGCTTCTCTTTAACAAACCTATTTCAAGATTGCTGCTGGAGCTTTTGGATATGGAATGCACCTTAGGGCTAAGCTCATCTGCATAGTGCTGTCAGGAAGGACAGAAAGGATCAGAGAGGCATGATAACCAGGACAAGAGGAACACCACACGAATGAAGGAAAAATAAGAACAACGTGAGTATGGAACCTGGTACTTTAAAAATAAATGTTCCATTTGGAAGAGCCTTTGAATATATTTTGAGAGACCAAATGAAGTCATGGATATACTAGTTGTCACTAATTATATTTTTCAAAAACTAACTTTGCAATTTCAAAAAATAACTAATTACTTTAATTAAAATAGTTACATAGTTACATGTCCAAATGCTACAAATCACTGGCCTGTGGCACCAAGTATGCTCTTCGTTCTTCTTTGTTTTTGTGTTATCATCTGCAACAGAGCAGAGAGAGAGAGAGAGAGAGAGAGATTCAGGCGTAAATGCAGCTTCTCAAGAAAAAGAAAGTCAAAGAAAATTTGGAAAGAGAAGTGGAAAGAGAAAATGCAGAAGGTTTCAGACAGAAGCGAAGCACTGGGAGAGAGTGCTAATGCTTGGGAGGGGGTGCTTCTCGGAATTTTAATCTGATATATCTGTATTTAGTTAAACTGGAAATACTGTAAGCCATCTCAAGCTTTCAGAGCAGAGCATTTTAAAACCTAAATAAAGACATTAAAGGCAGAGAAGCTTGTGTACCTTCATAACACGTGTCTGTGCATATTTCCAAAGAAAGTACAGGTAAAGAGACATGATATCTTAAGTCATTTAAAGTGGAGGCAAAAAGGCACGGGGACGTAAATGCAAACCCCCCCAATTCCGAGCTGCGGAAACTCAGAGAACGACCGTTCCCAAACACTGCAAAGAGCGCAGCGCCCGTTACAAACATTTCTCCCACCTCAATCCGTTCCTCGCTTTCCACGTGGTTACCCTTCACGCTCCAAAGGGCCCCACGCCGGCCACGGGCAAGAACCTCCACACACACCCACAGCGCCTGCTCACCCGGCCAGTCCTCCAGCCAATCCCAAGACAGCCGGAAATACGTCATCCAGAGAACCTACTCTTTTCCGCTTTACGACGTTTGGGAACTGTGGGTTTTGGACCATAGAGATGTCGGCTTGCAAAGCCATAGTTTTTAAGTAGCGATGATTGATCTTTAGGGAACGCTTAGTCCTAGAAACAGTGTTACAGCGACAGTTGGTTCTGTTTCTCTTAATGATTGACCTTTAGGGAAAGCTTAGTTACAGCGACAGTTGGTTCTGTTTCTCTTCTCTTGAGTAAACGTATTATTTTTTTCCTACAAATGTAGGAACAGGGGATAGCTTCATTAGCTCAATGAAAAAAATTCAAACAAAATGCTACCTTTCGATGTTGTTTGATTTATTTTTAGTGGTTTAATAAAGGTATCCCCTGCTCCTACATCTGTATTGATTTGGAGACCACGCGGCCCTTTTCTCGTTCTTTTTTTTTTTTTACACATGCATTTCTCGTCTTTAAGGTTATTCTCTCATTTTGAACCGTCCCATTGAGCTGCTGCTAGATTAAAAATTCTGCTAGCCCAATCCTGCGACATCGTGCAGTTTGCACAAGCCTGGGCATTGCTTAAGCGGAGGGACCGCTTTCCTTCCCCAAATCACGAGTCGTGCAATGGCAAGGCTTGTGCAAGAATCACAGTTCCGTGTTCTTGGGACCCGGGTGGGGCTTTCCACTCGGCGTAACCTCAGTGAAACGGTGGCTACAGAGCAGACCGCACATGGACAGAAACAGAAAGATTTGTTTTTAAGCGTTGCTACGTAGCTTTCGCAACCACAAAGAGAGCGCTTTTGTGAAACATGTTTGTCATTGCATTAAATGATCTTTTTTGTCCTGATCAAAGGACAAAGTTGTGTGAGTCTGCAGTACTAACTTAGCAAACGCAGGTAAGACTCTCGCCTGGTGCCTTAAAGACGAACTGTCGTGGTAGCTTTAAGAACTGATGAGTTTAGTGGACCTAAGAACTTGCCAATGGCACAATATTCTTTGTAACTATTACATTTTTAAAAGCTGATGTGTCGAGGGCATGCTTTCTCTGTTGGAGAGAAGAGCCGTTTGAAGGAGGAAGAAATCCATTTGTAAGAATATATATTTTTTACAGCTGGGTTTTCTTCTTCCAGAAGTTAGAAGAGGGATATAAGAGAATGGCGAGCCAGGATGCAGCCCGGAGAGGGAGTAGAGGTGTTAGGGAAGCAGCCTTTGGTGTAGATGTGGAGGGAGTATCTGTGTATGGTGCTTTTTTTTCATTTTGTCCCTCTTATTTTTTTCCTTTTTTTTTTGCATCTGGGTAAGCGAAATCAGATGTCAAAGAATCTGTCAAGATGTCATCCCATTAAAAAGAACCTGTCATCTGCTCTTTATTCTGTATTCAAGTAATTTTCCCCCATACAATTGTTTGCTTGAAGCTGTATAACAAAAACAGTAAGGCCCCATTGCAGACTCTTTGCATGACACTTTGCAGGCAAAATCACTTAGATCTCCTCTGACCTGAATGCTACAGTTGATGGATACTTTTCAGTCTGTACAACTGAAAAAAATTAACAGGATCCTTGGATGTATTTTATATATTATGTGAGATATCTCAGGTAAGTGCCTTATCAAAGAATGGAATATTGAAGACTGGGTGATAGTTGTCCTAGTATGATGGGTACTATGTTTTTAGTGATAGTCTTCCTACTGCCTCTTTCAGACATGCTTGAGCTCTGTCTTGATCAGGAGGCATTGACTACACCCCTTGTCCACTTCATCAGCCCCTCACCTGGCTACTATATATGTACTGTATATAGGTTGCAGGAAAAAATATGACATGTCATAGAAATCCTCCCCTTATTGATGAGCATACCCTCCTGTTTATAGCCCCAAACAAGATCCCTGGTCTGGAAGAAAAAGTAAAGCAAATCTCTCTGAACATGGGTTAGATCTTATTACCACTACTTTGTGGCAGTGGTGTAAGGGTGAGGGTAATGATTGTGGCATCAGTGACAAATGCCTTCTTTACCACTACAATATCTGCATCAAGGCACCCAATGGAGATTTTTTAAATTATTTTTTTAAGTGATCAGAAGCTAATTTTCTCTGACTCACTAGAGAAAATAGTGTAAACTACTTGGTAGCCCATTGTGAACAATTTGTTTGGTCCTTTGTAGATAAAATTGTTTCTGTCTGTGCCAACCTCATAAAGGTCCAAAGGATGCTGCTGTAGGCTTTGCTTCTCCAGTGGATCTGCACTCCACAGAAACACGTGCCCAGTAAACATATTAGACTTTAAATTACCATGTGACTCTTTGCTGTCCTTTCGGCAACAGGCTTGTTTCTGCTGGGAATTCAGTTGCCCAGCTGGAACTTCTCAAACCAGTAATGACTGTGAGCTTTGTGTCATTATTTATTGAGGGAGAGAGAATGTGTGTGTTGTGTGTGTGTGCACGGATTTTAAACACAACTACTGGTTTCTCAGTAATTCTCCTTATCAGAATTGGGAAACAAGGAAGTAAGCAGTACATTAGCTCCATCACTATTTATAACTTGTTTCTTTTATATTTTGCCTAAGTTAAGCAATGGATGATATGGCTTTTTTTGGCTTTGCCCTGTAAATTCTCAAGAATAACCCCCAAAGCTAATTGAACTTTGGTCACCGTTCTTCATTTCAACGCAAGCCTTGTCTTGAAACAATTATAGGTGTAAAATTCAAAGAAAATTGGATATATATGTGGAAATATTTCTAGAAAAGAAAATACACAACTGCCATACTTGTTTATTTCTCTTCTTGTTGTTAAAATGATTTTATGACATGTTGACTTATTATGTAGTACTGCTAGGAAAGACTAAAAGAATATATTCTCTTGTTTGCTGAAGATATATGATTCAATTCAGAAGGAGAATGTTAAGCCTGTTTCTGGACATTTCTTATCAATACCAAGTCCCACTGGGCTTTGCAACTATAGGTAGATTTGCCAGGTTTCAGGCTTTGGCCTGGAAACTTGTGTTTTGGGTTTCATTCTGCAGGTCTGTGGCCCTGGAATCTGAAGAAATGGGCAGCTGCTGAGCGAGAAACCCTAATCAGGCTTTGGGGTTCATATTGATATATTGAGATCACCTAGAGCAGTGGTCCCCAACCTTGGGCCTCCAGATGTTCTTGGACTTCAACTCCCAGAAATCCTGGCCAGCAGAGGTGGTGGTGAAGGTTTCTGGGAGTTGTAGTCCAAGAACATCTGGAGACCCAAGGCTGGGGACCACTGACCTAGATATCTGCCAGTGGATCCAAATTTATTCTTGTCCCACCTTCTGTTTCGAAAACAGTGTTTCCTCATGTTAATAATGCTCTGGCTTATCACTGTGTCTAGTACCTCAGACTGAATCTCTCCAACAGACTATGGGAGGCAAAGCATTGGCAATACTACTTTGTTTAAAATTCCTCATTTTATCTACACATTGTTTTCACACATTCACCATCACGCAATTGTTGCTGAAGAATTTCCCCCTATAATATTACAATGGCATACCACTTTTTTTTCGGGTTTGGCCCTGAAATGTCAGGGAATGAAATCCAACGGCCTTTAGTTATAGGGCTAAATCTAATTTTAGTTCTAACTGGAGTTGAATGCCATCAAATCTAATAGGGTTTTTGAAATATGTGAAATGTTCAAGGGGTGGCTTTCCATTGCTACTTTGCCATCAGTTGGAATTTAAATTTAGGTCTCCTGAAAATGAATGGGGCCTCTGAATCAGCATTAATGTAAATCTCATTTATTTCAGTGGGTCAACTCCAGCTGGGACTAAGATTGGATTTTGCCTCTTACTTCCAAACAAATCCATTGAGTCTATGAAGGGCTTTGGATTTTAAGCATGCTCACTGAGTTGGAGCACCTGAATGTAGAGGCAGGGGGTGGGAGTTTGATTCCTCAGTATTCTTCCCAGGAGAAGAGCTAGTCTATGTGGCCTTGGGCAAGCTATATGGTTCCAGAGCACCTCAACAATAAGGGACTAGTAAATCACTTCTGAGTACATCTAGAAGACCATTTTAATTGTTAAACTAAAGGATCAATTCTATTATTTGTTGCTTTAGTAGCATATGGGTGTTTTTTTCTGTGTTGATCTGCTGATCCCGGAAATTGGCACTCCCACCACTCAGCAAACATTTCTTTTTTTACTCACTTGCTGAGGAACCAAGAAACTGGACAAACATAAGCTTGAAATTTATCCCCCTGTCAGATAGTTATGCAAACTGCAGCCAAACGTCATTTGTGTTTACAGCTCCTCCAAAAAAAAAGTAGATACTGAGAAGTAACTATCTACAGCATAAAATATGAGAACAGTCAGGCAGTTCTACTGATATTTTCCAGCCTTCTGCTTGCTTACTTCTTATTCTTGCAGTTACAGAGAACTGAAGATAGGAGGCTCTCCTGGAGGAGTTTAGAATCATTCATGAGGTTTCTTACCTTCGATTTCAAAATTGTCATTTCAAATATTTGCCAGTGGTTAACAATTAAACACTAAATCTGAGGCTCGGAAGAAGGCTAGGGAAAGAAAATCTTCTAAATACACAGATAACTCTTCACCATGAAACCATTACCAGCGCTGGTGTTTATTTTTTGCCTTTCACTTTGTGCTTTCGGGCAAAAGGTAAGATTTTATTTTAAATGAAACCATTGGTATTGTAGGCAGACCCATTTTTATATATAGCATTTTCAAATCTGTCAAATTTTTAATACAATGATCATGAATAGCAGAAATGATGTTTTTTACCTGACTGGATTTCTTTTCCTACAGCAACATGCATACCTGATAGAAGAATGTGTAAGCAAAGGCTACACTCAGAATTCTTGCGACAAAGTTTTCTGCCAGGGATGGCAGAGGTGTGTTCGTGGCTCCTGTCTCTGTAAGCTACCCTACCAATGCCCCAAAAATGGTAGTTTGGTTTGCTCTAATGGTGGGATGACTTTCCGGACTTACTGCCAACTAAAAAGTTATGAATGCCAACGTAACTCAAACAGTTTTGTGCACAGAGGAAGTTGCAGCCTTAAAGGTAAGTCTTTGGTGTTTCCTTTCCAACCTCTGTGTCAGCAATAAAGAGTAAATTTTAAGGGTGGTGAATAGAGGCTTACTAGCACTTTAAAGTCATTCTTTTAAATTGAATACCAATGAGAACGTGGCATTTGTTATATTGCTCATCCTTAGGCTGTTATTTTTCTTTCATGAATGGTTCTTTGGGAAGAACAAGACTTGGGGGAATGGGGGATTTATTTACCCTGTGTAGTCCTAGTCTGAAGAGGCCCCCGTTTGAAGCCAGGGGAGCAAATGTATTACTGGAAATAAAACTCTCATATATCCTTGTAGATTGAACAGGCATAAAATCTTAGGTATTTTGTTTTCTAGAAACTTTTCAAGTTGTCTTGGACCCTGAAACTGCAACCTCTGAGGGAATTGTTCAAGTGAAGTTGAATCAGCCCCAGAAGACATATATATGTGGAGAAGGATGGACTATACATGAAGCAAATGTGGTCTGTAGAGAACTTGGTTTCCCAGAGTAAGAGATTTTTTATGTGAGGTGGAATGCACAACCTGTCATTTGGATAAATGTGGTATTTAAAAGATGATTCCACTAGTAAGAAAATCCCAGCATCCCTGAGTTTATTTTACAATGTGACAGAACAGCCTTCCCCAACTCAGCCACCACTAGACATGCTGCACCACAGCTTCTATCATCTCCAGTTTTGGCCCAGTACAGTATGTCTGGTGCTAGGTTGGGGAAGATTGTGTTACATGGCCAGGAGTGGTGGAGTGCATGCTTTGCATGTATAATAGATTTAGTCCATGAGACTTCCAGTTAAAGGATTGGGGCAGCAGGGCTTGGAAAGATCTCTCCTGGGGAGAGGGAGCATGTGAACATGAATATTTTGAAACAGAGGGCATTTTGTAGAGCTACTAATCAAATGATGCTGGGATGCTTTTACATTTTACTGAAAAAGTGAGAATGATTATCCATCCTGCAAATTATCAAGGTACATGCAGGGGGAAGAATGACTTTGGCATAGATTATGTAAGAGTTGACGCTTGTAAAACCATTTAATGCCCACAGAAACCAATTCCAGGAGTTATACTGGACTGCAAAGCAGAACAGAACCAAAAGCCGTTAGACCAATGAGTCTGAGCTTCATCTTATAATTCATCCTCATCCAGGACATCACAGACTTCAGACTCAGAGTTTTGATCACTCTGGAAGTCTCAGGCTTGCTTCAGAGGTTTCAGCTGGAAGTCTTCCCTTCACCTGCTACCTTGCACTAGGCTTGGATCTGAGGCCCTGACTGTTTCTAAGACACCTTGTCATAAAATTATAGAATTGTAGAGCTAGAAAGGAGGCCAAATTTAATCAAGTCCAACTCCCTGCTGATGCATGAAATCCACTCGTAAAGCATCCCTAACAGATGGCTATCTTACATCTTTAAAAACATCCAGTGATGACGACTCTAAGCTAGTGCGTTCCATCATTGAGCAGGCCTTGGTGGAAAGACTGTCCTTCTAATGTTTAGTCAACATTTCCTTTCTTTTAATTTGTTCATGTCACTCTCTGGAAGAGCAGAAAATAAGTTTCCTCCATCTTCAACATAACAGATTTTAAACATTTGGAGGTTGTTATTGTAACAGTCTCCTCTTCTTCAAGCTAAACCTACCTAGTGTCCTAAATCCAGATACTCTAGAGTTAAATCCAAAGCTTTGAAAGAATACAGTTTTGAATCAGCTCCCAGAGTCCCTCAGTGACTATGTATCTCAACTATCTCACAAGAAACCCAGTCGTTTGATTTCTTTTCTTATCTATAGCTGTCTGGGCAACAGATCTAGCATACAAGTTGAATGTTTTCAGAGACCCAGTTTGTAAAGTGGTTCTGTGCTGTTCTCCTAGCCTATTGGAAAAGTTATAGTTGGATATAAATAATGCATGTACTTCTTTGGATAATGGACATCTGTATCATGGGCTTTTTGTTTCATTTACACAGAGGTGCTGATTTAATACAGTCGGATGATGCAGATAATCTCACACATCCATTACAATGCCTTCAGGCAACATGCAGAGGGATAGAAACTAGCCTAGCTGAATGTACTACAAGTCAACTGAATCAAAATAATCAAAAGGTGGCGAAGGTGATGTGCCACACACAGCACAAAGGTTGGTAAAACAGGTTCTATGGGGAAAGCACCGGTACATTTAGCCACTTCTGACTTCAAAATAAGTTTTACTTGCAACTTCTTTTAGCTTTTCTAGTCTACCATATATATCATCATCCAGGATATTCTCCTTCCTCCCAGTCTTCTGTCCTCTTCCTCAGCAAGGCACTCAACATTCCATGTCTGTTGAACAATGGTCAGTCCTCACTGCATGGTTTTGGGGAGGGTGGGATTTCACTTCTACAAGTTTTCCCTGAAGATTTCATCTTGATTTCGCAAATGTTGATACTCTGCTGAATAGCTTCTTCCTTCACAGTAGTCTTCACTTCAGTAAGTCAGTGCTTTAGTTCACTTAGTGTATGAGATAGTTAGATGACCTGCTTTTCTTTTTTAAATGTTATTATTTATTTGTAGGGACAGCTATTGCATGGAAGATCAGCCCATGGTTATACATTGCTTTAAAATATCTTATTTGTGCTTTTAAATATTGGTAGGTTAATTTCAGCTTTTCAATAAATTTGTGCAATTAATTTATTAGCTATTTTGGTTTCATTAGTGATCGAAAAGGAGTGTTGTTGGTTTGCTTTGAAGCCAAATGACAGAGTCAGACAGTTGTTCAGAACAACTAGGTCCCATGCCTGTTGGACATTGTTGCTTTTGGTGTAATTCATTTGAGATTCTAGAATTAGAATATAATTGTCTTGATGTAGGGTGTTCTCAGACAGAGAGCTCATAGCACTAACCATCAAAACCATCACGTGGCCAGCACGACTAGACATGGAATGCCATTACCTTCCCACCGTGGTAGTACCTATTTTTCTACTTGCATTTTTACATGCTTTCGAACGCCTAGGTTGGCAGGAGCTGGGACAAGCGACGGGAGCTCACTCCATTGCATGATCGAGATTACGACTGCTGTGGTCCTCCAACCTTGCAGCAGAGAGGCTTCTATGGTTTAACCCGCAGCGCCACCATGTCCCTAACAGAACATTTTACCAAAGTGTTATTTCTCACCCAACTTGACAGAATGTTCTCCCCGAGAATTCCGCTGTGTCAACCAAAAATGTATCCCTTCACGTAAGACATGTGATGGAATCAATGACTGTGGTGATTTAAGTGATGAAGTCTGTTGCAAAGGTATGTGCATGTAACAATTCTTTTCGTATTTCATCAGTTATATACAAATGAATGCTATTTAAATATGTTTCAGAGCTGTCAAACAAAAGCAAAAAGCACAATTGCTCTAAAATTACTTGTACTGAAACCAGGGTTTTGTAAAAAAGAAAGAAAGAAACATAGTTTTTGACTATATACAAGACTGTTGTGAGAATCCAATTATCAATATTTACAGTGTGCTAAGATACTCCAGTCTCTCAGTCTCCAGCTATGGACTAAAATTTACAGAATAAATACAGTATGTTATTACTTTTTCTGCTAATTTATTTATGAAACCGTTTTTCCCCACCCCCTTATGTACACTGTGTATATAAACTTGTAGCCTAAATATTGTAATTAAGGAGACTGAAACATACCAAAAGTGGCACATTGTTTTGCTTTGTTTTATATACTGAAACAGACTAACATAATTATGTCTCTGAAAATTTTTAGAAAATGTACTTTCGATTTTTCCTGTCCTACTAGAGATTCTAGTCAAACACATTTCTACAAAATATACTGTAACCCCTCTACAAAATCTGTTTGACCAGCAGTTACAATGAGACAGGGAAATTAGTATAAATGGGTAGTAGTTGTTTCCTCTCAGGCCAATGACTCAAAAACCATTGTTTGTAGATTCAGAAGAAGTATTGTGAAAGAATCTGGGTTTGTTTGCTTTTTTGAACCAACTATATTCTCTAGTCAAACCAGTTTTACAGATAATCAGCATTAGAAAAATATCAAGTAGCTCCATAAGCATGAAGAGCCATGTGTGTTTCAGTGTGACAATGTGCAGGCAATTTAATATTGTCAAAAGTGTATGTTCACTACTACACGCTCAAAGCAATTTGAAAAAATTATCTGCACAAACAATTGACAGGAGAGGGGTTGGAGTATAAAGCTACTTCCGCTTCAGAGTTAGATCAGATGACGGTTTATCATTTTTTAAAGAGAGGTGCTTTCTTAAATCAGAAATGACATGCTTGTCATAGTGTATAATTTTCCTCACCTAAGTGTATTTGGTGAACCATTTTGTTTTGAGTTTTGTCACTTCTCTGTCCCTTCTCTGTATTGATTATACCCAATCAGGCAAGGCATTTTAATTTTTTTTTCTTTGCTTTTAGTATGTGTGAGCCATTTAAACAAGCAGTACAGAAGTCATCTGCTCTACAAAAAGTTAACAATAAAATATAGCAGCTAGTCCTTAAAGTGCTACAGTGTCCTTTTTTGTTGCTTCTGTTTTATGTTTCTTGTTTAAATGCTTTCGCAGACTAACACAGCTACAATGCTGAAAATTTATTCATGAGAAAATCAGTGGAACTGGTAAAACCACTCCTTCAATATCTCACTTACCTATTTGGGTCACTATAAGTCAGTTCCGTCGTAACAACAGAGAACACACACACTGTGTATGAAATCTTCCAATCCTGTGGGCCTGACCAATTGTATTGTCATTTCTCACAGACTCAACTGCACATACTTTCTTGAGATACACCAGTTTTGAGGGGAAAAATTTATGCTGCATTGTCATTTAAACACAGCATTTTACATGAGATTTATTTTATTTATTTTATTTATTTATTTTATTTATATCCTCCCCATCTGGTCTATACGACCACTCATACAGACTAGACGTAAACTTAAAAGTGCACCCTGTCTTAGAATTAACATGATTCTTCACTGAAGATACTCACAGTCCCATCAAATCAAGTTAATTACCACATTGCTTATTATAGACTTTTAGAAGTATCAGTATTAATAAGGAAAACTGTATGGATGAACCTTTGCATGCTGCCAGGTTCCTGTACCTTGTTCTTCTATCTAGTACATCACATAATCGGTGCTGGTTCAAGTAACTTCTCTCAATATATTTGTGAAGGCTTTCACGGCCGGGATCTAATGGTGGTTCTGGGTTTTTCAGGCTCTTTGGCCGTGTTCTGAAGGTTGTTCTTCCTGAGGTTTCGCCAGTCTCTGTGGCCGGCATCTTCAGAGGACAGCACTCAGAGCACTGGCGAAACGTCAGGAAGAACAACCTTCAGAACACGGCCAAAGAGCCTGAAAAACCCAGAATAACTTCTCTCAGTCTGAATGCCACAGGAACAATAAGCTGTAGCCATGTTGGTCTGTGCAAACATATCAGACAAAAAACAGAGCAAAACAAATACAAAAAAAGGACAAAAATATTTTGGGAATCTAAAGATTAACTACTATACAGTATTCCAATCTGAGCTTTCTTGGATCAAGTCCACTTCTTCAGATGTAGAACTGAGACTATATAACTGTCATATTTATACATGACCAGGTGGGGATACAGATAATGAACAAAGGACTGACTATCAATCAAAGGCTCTTAAGGGTTCTTACGTCATTACCAAATGTGAAGTGCCACACGGATTCACACAGTTCGTCATTTGTATGTTGTTTATCCAGAGCCTGACAGCCTGTTCTTTTAATAATGAACCACTTTATTCATTGTCTGTTTTCCAACCCGGTTTGGGGCCAAATATAATATACCGTAGTTAGCCTTTAAAGTGCCACAAAGTTTTTTGTTTCTTCTTTTTTGTTTCACTTTAGGGTTTTTTTGTCTGAAAGGAATAATAAGGAAGAGATTCCATTGCATCTTTAGAGCCATCTAACCATGCATATAAAGAAACTGAAAAGTTGGTTTTTCTTATACAACAATATAAAAATCCAGCATTTCTTGTAATATATCTCTGAAAAGCAAACAGATTCATTGTGCTTGCTGTCATTTCGTGCTGTTCATGAACATTTGTGCACTGGATGTTTTCTTCCTCGTAGTATGCAGAGGGAAGAGTTTCCACTGTAAGTCAGATGTATGCATTCCAAACCAGTACCTCTGTAACAACGAAAGGGACTGCCTCACAGGAGAAGATGAAAGTTCCAAATTGTGTAAGCTTAAATTTTTTAATTAACTATAGCTAGATTCTGATGGTCACTTTCTGAATTTGATGCCCAGCACAGTATTTGTTGAATATCTATCTATCTATCTATCTATCTATCTATCTATCTATCTATCTATCTATCTATCTATCTATCTATCTATCTATCTATCTATCTATCTATCTATCTATCTATCTATCTATCTATCTATCTTCTATCTATCTATCTATCTATCTATCTGTCTGTCTGTCTGTCTGTCTGTCTGTCTGTCTGTCTGTCTGTCTGTCTGTCTGTCTGTCTACCTATCTAATCTATCTAATCTATCTAATCTATCTAATCTATCTGTTGGGGGAAAATATCTGTGTATAATAAAAACCATGCTGCTCAGACCAGTACAATTCAAGGGAGAAGTCTAGTTCAGTTCCCATAATCAGAGTAGTCGCAAGGGTGGGCAAAATGTGGCCCTCCAGATGTTGCTGAACTGCAACTCCCATAATTCCTAGCCCAATAGTGAGGAGATTTGGACCTAGCCCACACAGTGAGGAATGTTGGGATTTGCAGTTCAGGAACATCTGGAGGGCCGCACATTGCCCAGGTCTGGACTAGTGGGTAGAGATACAAAGTACATCAAAAGGTTTCAGGACTGAAGGGTACATTGTTTCAACCCTGATGCCCTGTTGTTTCCCATCAGTGATCAAGTACCATCAAAACCTGGAGGGAGGGCTACATTGTAATTTGGGGAGGAAATGCGTAATTGTAATGCAAAAGATGTGCAGTTTAATTTACAGAAATGAAATTTGTAGCTACTTTTTTGTTCTGGTTAGATGTCCCTCCCAAAAGGCTATGATAGTTAACAATATTTAGAATATCTGGGGAAAAAACAGGAGCATTCATTTTTATGGCACTCACATAGGTTGCACTTGAACACATGAAAACCTTTCAGGAGTCCATTGTGGCCGTTTCTGGGCAGGCAGTCCCTAATCACACTGATCCCTACATTAATAATCCCTAGGATCAATTACTGCAATGCTCTCTACATGGGGCTATCTTTGAAGGTGACACAGAAGCTTCAACAGGTACAAAACATGGCAGCTAGGTTGGTATTGGGAGCAAAAAAATATGATTACATCTCCCTGATTCTGGCTAGCTTGCATTAGCAGTCTGTTTGCTTCTGTGCCAAATTCAAAGTGCTAATGCTAACTTATAAAGCCCTTCACAGTTTGGGACCTCATTATCTGTCGAAGTGTCGCTCCTTACGATCATCTACCCAGGCAACCCAGTCCATCCAGGCTTTGCAATTGTGGGTGGTCACCCTTAGAGAAACCTGGAAAACTACCAGCAGGAACTGGGCTTGCTCGGTGGTGGCCACAACACTATGGAATACAGTACTTTGCCTGTTGATGCTCACTAGCCTTCCTCCCTCCTGACCTTCAGGAAACTAGTGAGAACTGAACTTTTCAAAGAGACCTTTGATAACATCCTCTCCCTTTGATCCTTTTAGAGACCCGTGCGTTTTTAATTGGGGTTTTATTTGCTGTCGCCTCTGGAGTTTTTTCCTTTGGTTTTTATTAAGTAAATATTTGTGTTTTGTGTAGGAGTCATTTTATTTTAATTTTTAATTGATGTTAGCTGCCCAGAGTAGTGCTTGGTCACTAGAGAGATGGGATAAAATTCTAATGAATGAATTAATAAATGAATTACTTTTAGCTCATAGGCTGGTTTTATTTTTTTTTAACAAGGCGACCAGCCAGAAAGCCGTTTCTGAAATCAAATTCATATAAAGGAAGCTAGTTTAGTTATTACCCCAACATTCATTTGCAGTTTTCTACTTGCTTATTTTCTGCCTCATTTACTTTTTACTAAAATGTGTTTGTTTGAAATAGGTGAGAAAAGACTCAAAACTGAACCAGGTAATATTTTGTACTTACATATTATTATTATTATCATCATTTTGTTCTAACTTGTTGTATTTTCAAAGGCTCTAGGTACCACATTTTGTATGGCTCTGCTCTTTCTCAGAAGAGCCCTCTTCTGTATGAGGCAACTGGATAGATAGTAGTCCAGGAAGAGTGCTCTGGCCTGAAAAGAATAGGACTCTAGTAAAGTGAAAATTGACACTTATCACAGTTGTGCTGAATTACACTGTTGTGCAAGCAGCTGGGAAGACAACTGTACAAAAGTTTGTATATCTAGTTGCACAACTGGTTTCTCAAGTCATTGGACTGCAACGAAGTGCCTTTGCACTAACTATGAAAATGCCGAAGTGCTACCACAGCACATGTTGTGCTAGCATAGGCTAGTATATTTAGTCCATATGCTGCATGTATCTGTTTACTTCTTCATTCTGGGCAATCAGAATGAGTTTAAACAGAAACGCCTCAGGATCAAACAAGATGCAACTGCAAAAAATTAATTGGAGGTGGCAGACAGGTCAGTTTTTGTTGGAAGGATAGCATACACGTACGGGTAAGTTTAATTCATCTATAGTATGCTGTGCTCTCAATTAAAGTCACCTTCTCGAGGTAGAAAGCCACCATAAGACATTTTGCTGCCTGAAGCGAAGGATATTATGTCACCATGTCTCTCATTCAAATACAGAAGTTGACTGAACTAACAGATGAATCTTATTTTACCAGTGGTACCAAATCAACATTCATTTACGGAGGCAGCTGAAAATCATACTGAGGCAACAGGTAACTTCATGCGGGGCAGGAGAGAAGATAGGAGTCTGTCCTAAAAATCTTTGTCTGCTTCTGGAGGCATAGGAAGGATGGAGCCAAATTATCCACTCATGGAGCGGAGTTCTATAGCTTGGGAACTACCACTGAAAAGGCGGTCTGTCAAGTCTTCTCAAAACATGTCTGTGTGAGGGTGGTGGCACTGAGAGACAGTGCCAGATCCTTGAAGATCTTAAAAATTGGTGAAGTACGGATGAGTAGATATGGTCATTTGAAATGCAATCCTTCCAAGGTTCTGGACCTAAGCTGTTGAGGGCTTTTGGTACCATCCGTAGATGCGGGGGAGGATGGGAACTGAGGAAAGATATATGAGGATATGAGCCTCATTGATGCCCATGTGGGGTTATCAAAGCCTAGATACAATATGGGGGACATATTCAGGGAGACCTGTGAGAGAAAACTAATCCACCCTTTTCTAATCCTGTGCTCTACTTGAGAAATCACTCCTCCACTTTATGGAGGATTTTGGAATGCTTCCGTAAGGACTATTTTGTAGCATTTTTGCAGTGAGCCAGCAGAAGCATTTTGGGGCCCATGTTGTAACTTTCATAAGCAGGTCCCTACAAATTAATATATATAAGGCCAGCCAAGGGTTAAAAAGGAAACAGTTAAAGAGAATAGTTAAAAAGTTAGCAAGCATATAAACTATGGAATTGGGGGGGCACACTTTAACTTACCATTTCACTTACAATAATTTTAAATTGTTTATGCATTTTTATTTTATTGCAGGAGAAGCAGGACATGTTGCGGTGTCTATGGATGAAGGTAATTGAACCATACCATGGCAGGAAAGGTTACACATTTTATTACCTCTTTAGGTTAGAAAAAAAGGCAAGTAAGAGTTGAAGAGATTGTCGTGTTGAGAGCCAGAAACTGGAAAGTTAATGGAAACTGGTCATATGTTAAATTAATTCTTCATAAGCTTTTTAAATAATCAATTTAATGTATGTTTATTACATTACTACACCAAGAGAGTCATCAGCATGAAAGTGAAAAATCTCATCCACCTCGTCCTCCCCTTTGCCCCATTTTGGGCTTTAGAAAAAAAGAAAGAGTTGCATGCATTTTTCATCGTACCCAACAAAAAACTCTTACTTTCCCTTCCATCCTGCCTTGCAATCTTATTCCTTACCCCTTATTTTTTTCTTTAGCTTACTTTAAAACTCTTCATCATGCAGGTCTTGGAGTGAGAATTAAAACAAGGTTATTGTTATATAGTTCATTGGTGATCCTGTCACCTGGCAACATCTTTCTTTCCCTGCATTCTCCCATAACTCACTAACTTATCTCTGGAGAAACATTGAAACCTGCAGTTAAGTTAAACACTAATTAAACTGTCCTTTTACGTTAGAAAATGTCGATCTTTGATAATTTAGTTGATTGTAGTATGTTAATGCCAGTCTCTACATAGAGCACAAACCAGTGACTGTGCCTGTGAATTGTGCCTTGTAGAGGAATAACAAGTTCAAGCTTCTACAACAATACGTTGTTCAACAATTGTTTAATGTTTTTAAAAACAATTGCCCCCTTTGCGTAACCTCTTGAAACTCCTGAGGCTGGTTTCCCAAGAAGATGTGTGCCTTTGCTAAATTAAAATTATGCAACAGTTGCTTAAAATGAAATATTCTGCACAAAGAAATATGATCGAATACCTTGGAACAATTTATTTATTTATTTATTTATTTATTTATTGAATTTATATCCCGCCTATAAGTCCACTCTAGGCGGCTTGAAACTACTAATCCTGCCTGCTATTAAATCCTCTTTCATACTAATTCAGCTATAAAACCAAACAAACCTGTTTCAATTTTGGGAGGTTAATTTTAAGAGGAACGAGTATAACATGTTCAAACCACCCAGTAACTGAACAATGATAGCAGGATAACATTCTTGAGCCCACTCAAAACTGGTTATCCATAACATTGTGCAGTTACAGTTGAGTTCAGCATTTCATTATATCTATCCTCTTAAAATTACTTTTTCTAGATTTGTAGTATTGCTTTGAGTATGAGAAATCTGGGGCTGACCAGCGGACCCTGCAAGACAACAGAATGTTCCTTTATACATTTAGTTTGAGGGATGTGACTCATGAAAGTGGAAGAACCCAGAAGTCCATTTATGTTCTTTGACTGCCTCTCTGGGAAAAGCTCTCTCTGAGAATATGAAGCAGGATTAGCAATTGTGCTGCCTGTTTTGTAAGTATATTTATTCCCCACATGGTCCACTTCTATATTGTAAGTAATTAATATGACGCAGATGCCATAAACCACTGTGCATAGGAAATTCCATAATTTCCAGTAATTCCATAATTTCTCACTATTTGGGGAGGAACTGACATAACTAAACAGCAAAAGAACTCTAATTATAAAGCAATATATTTCTTTAAAGAAAAGAAAACAACTACATACGTTGCAAATAAAGCCCTGTTTTATTACAGAAAGAAAAAGGATCAAAACACTTTACCCCCAACCATACTGTGGCATTGCAAACCACACAGTTACTCGTCGGAAACGAATCTTGGGAGGAAATACTGCAGAAAAGGTAACAACTCTCAAGGCATGCATTTCAATATATTCTGTAGTCATATAGGAACTGTAGTGCTGGCTGAAATCCAATTTGTTGTTTAATCGTCAAGTCGTGTCTGACTCTTCGTGACCCCATGGACTAGAGCACGCCAGGACCTCCTGTCTTCCACTGCCTCCCCGAGTTGGGTCAAATTCATGTTGGTCACTTCGATGACACTGTCCAACCATCTCGTCTTCTGTTGTCCCCTTCTCCTCTTGGCTTCACACTTTCCCCACATCAAGGTCTGTTCTAGGGAGTCTTCTCTTCTCATGATGACCAAAGTATTGGAGCCTCAGCTTCAGGATCTATCTTTCCAGTGAACACTCAGGGTTGATTTTCTTCAAAATGGATAGGTTTGTTCTCTTTGCAGTCCAGGGGACTCTCAAGAGTCTCCTCCACGCCACAATCCAGCTGTGAAATCCAGTAGGATGTCACAACTAGAATATGCCCATTGATTCAGTGGGGATTTGGTGAGTTAACTACTCCATAGCTTCCATTGTTTCAATGGACTTGCTCTAGTTGCGGCAATCCTACAAGAGTAAAGTTTTAAGTTAATGTTTCCAACATTATATACATTGTCCTTTCTCTGTTCATAATTCCCATTTCTTCCAGTCATAAGTCAGGGAACCAGAATGGGAAGCTTGGGCATAATTAACTGTTACAACCTGGCATGATGGTGGTACTATTTATACCTCTTTAGTATCATTTTATGGGTCATAATCTGCATCTTGTATTGAACTGGGGGAAAATTAGAAACCTGGTTGTCAGCTGGTTTAGTAGGTAAAAGATAAGTTACTTTACAGCTGTTGCTGCTGCTGTTACTACCAGTATTGTAAATGAGCAAGTAAAATATAATGACATTTCGAAAGGTATACAATGTGTAACATTGTTGCATAGAAACAGGGATCAAATGATTTATGCCCTCTCTTTTTTTAACAGCATGAATTTCCATGGCAAGTTGCAATTAAAGGTGAAAGGGAAAGAATAAGCTGTGGTGGCGTTTATATTGGGGGCTGCTGGGTTTTGACTGCTGCACATTGTGTTAGGTAAGTGATTTAGGAGTTTTAGAAAAGTTAATAATATCAATAAGGTAACAACTTGCATTGTTCTAACAATAATAATCATGTAGGTATAACTTATTATCCTTATTATTATTCAAAACAATTCATATTCCTTAAATTGTAAATTCAAACCAATAAAAACAAAAGTATTATTAAATACAGTTTTGAAATGTATCATTCGAAATGCAGCAAAGGCACTCACATGTTTACAGACATTCGATTAACTTTTGTTTTAATGTAAACTGATTTTATGTATTCGCACATAACAAACATCAGACATATACTGGGGGAAATTCCTTGTTTTAAGCTTCTGCGCATTCAGATTTATCTGCAGATACTGCCTAGCCTCAAAGATTCTTGTGATTCTCATAATATCTTACAGGTAATTTTAGTTCAGGCTCTTCTTGTCTAAGATATTTAAAAAAACCTGGACAGAGCACTGCTTTCTAAAATTCTACTGGAAATTTGTCAGCAGCTAAGATTTACATTTTTGCCCTGTTCTGCTCTTCAAAATACTCTTCTCCTTTTTTCAGGGCAAGCCGTGCGCACGTTTATAAAGTATTTACTGGAATGCTAAACTCAATAAATGTGACTAAAGGAACCATCGTCGCATACAATTTAAAGAAAGTAATAGTTCATGAGAATTACAATTCAAAAACATATGAAAATGACATTGCTTTGCTGGAGATGAAACCCAATGACATGGGGAAATGTTATCCAATTGATACTGTGCCAGTATGTGTTCCCTGGTCCAAATATATGTTCAAAGGTGGTGAGCAGTGCAAAGTGTCTGGCTGGGGATATGATGCAGGTAATTACAATTGTCTAGCTAATTGTTTCCATTAGCATTGTATTTTCAGCAGAGCCATGACTGTCTGTTAGGTCAAATGAGGAAACCGCCTGAAACAGCAGATGAAGGGGCAGCTATGGCTCCCCTGGATTTTCCCTCTCTTAAAGGACACCATTGTGAAGACCACACAATCTGTCTCGCACCCACTAGATTACCCTGTTGCTATCAAGTGGGCAGGATGCTAACACGTTGTCAGTGTTAAACTAAGATTCAGCAGTCAGTCTAGTCATCTTATCTAGGAAGAATGAAGGAGAAAACATATTTTTCCAAGTCACCTAGGAACATCACATGCACCCCATCCATTACAATGTATGTGCCATTTCTGACACTTGCTAACTGCATGCTGGATCACACAGTATCTTGGCTATGTGGTCTTGATTGCTGCTCTGGTTTACCCAAAAGGAGGCACGCCACTCCAAAATACAGGAACTGCAAGATGAGAACGTTACTCATAAAAAATGACTTGTCATCTTTCTGACTCTGTAGTTGTGTGGTAGTTGTTACCACCGTAATTACTATAAAAGTAGTTAGCTGTTATAGTGTCAGTAATTTTTTCCTGTTTTTTAAAAGTAAGCAAGGATGGGACCACACAGTGAGAAGACTCAGCCCAGGTCTCCCTGGATGAATTGATTTTAGGAGTCAGCAGACAAAGGGGAAGAAATTGGCAATCACATCTTGTCGGCAACTTGTTTGGGCAGCTTCTGCTGTAGCCATCCAGATTTACAGGAAGCATGGCTACAGCAGAGCTAGTTTAAACACGCTGAAAATTAGCAATTTCTTCCTTTCTGTCTTTTCCTAGTTGTTCTAACACAACCACTCTGGTACCAAGCCTTTAAACAAAAGGAAATGTCATTATTAGCAAAGACATTTGAGGGGGACTGACACTCAAGAGTGAGGGGACTTAACCGAATCAGCTGGAGAATTTGAGCAAAGGTTTTCCTTGTCATGTGAGGGATGGAGCTAAGAATGGAACCCCCACCCCTTCCTTCCTTGGGAGCCATTTAATTTGACCTCCCTGCACACAACCACTGTTAGAGGACTGGTTGGCAATTTCCTTCTTCTCCATACATGTTTTTCTATATCAGTTCAAGTGATCACATGACCTGAAAACATTGCAACAAAAAGATAGAAGCCCCATCAGCACAGGAAAAAAAGTATGGATTAGGGTGTGTGTAAGGGGGGGGGGGAATCTGGCCTGATTTGCTTTGACTTGTATGCCATGTAGTTAATAATAAATAATACAAATCTGATTGTCCCAATCCCAGAGTATTTCCCATATTATTTGTCCATGTAGTTCAGACACCCACTCATTTGTTAATTAGTACTAAATAAATATGGGAGTTTTTCCTTCAGTAGCATGAGGCACTGTGTGAGCCAGCCCTTGATGCAGGTGATATTCTTCCTTTACTAAGAGAAATTACTTTTCTGAACCATAGCTCCCAGAATCCCCCAAATTCTGGGATATGTAATCCAAAACACTATGTTTTTGAAGCTTGGGCAGTGGGTTGTTTTGTTTCCCACCACCTAATATCCAATCACATTCTCCTTCTCAGGGTTAGTGCTTCTCATACCCTGCTCCTTTGTGCCCTAGCACCACATTTATATATTTGAGCATAGGGGTAGTGATGGAAGAAGGGGACACTTTAGCCAGAATTAAAGATCCTGTTCTTTTTGGTTTAGATAAAAATACAGGATCAGTGGTGTCCTGGGTATATTGAGACTGCGGTCACACAAGAGAAATGTTTTCTCACGTCTTCTGCTTGGTGTATAGTAACACATCGTGGTCATGTGACATATATCCTGTGTTAGTGGTTCATATGTTTTTTAATAGTTCCACTTTTGGGGGATGAATTCAAGGTGGAACATTTGTCTACACTCCTCGAGGGGGAGATATCCCCTTCCTTTATTTCTCCTTTTCTTTTCCCCCCTTCCCTTAAAAAAACATCTGTGGGTATATCGCTGTGTTGGCAAAATGCCCTTGTTGACCCTCTACTGATCTGTGCCATTTCTTCCTATTTCCGTGCTTCGTTACCCTCTTTGGAAGAGAATCCACAGCACACTGCAATGGTGGTCAAAAGACAGTAGAGGGATTGATGCTCTGTATTTGACAGAAGCATACCAACACACCAGCATTCCCATTTGAACATTAATTTTAAAAAAATAACCAAGTCAAATGACAGCAGGTGAGGGATGTGGGACTGCACACCAAATACAGTGGTGCCTCGCACAACGAGTGCACCGTAGAACGACGAATCCGCACAACGGGGCCATTCTAGCGATCGCAAATGCAATCGCACACCGACGGCCCCTATGGCTCAAAATTGCAGAGCGAAGGTCGGCTTTTCTTTTCCCCCCCTTCCCTTTAAAAAAAATCTGTGGGTATATCACTGTGTTGGCAAAATGCCCTTGCTGACCCTCTACTGATCAGTGCCATTTCTTCCTATTTCTGTGCTTCATTACCCTCTTTGGAAGAGAATCCACAGCACACTGCAATGGTGGTCAAAAGACAGTAGAGGGACTGATGCTCTGTACTGTATTTGACAGAAGCATACCAACACACCCGCATTCCCATATGAACATTAATTTTAAAAAAATAACCAAGTCGAACGACAGCAGGTGAGGGATGTGGGACTGCACACCAAATACATAGGAAATAAATATGTTTTGGAGTACACACTCAATGGGATGTCAGTTGTACTGCATAATGAAACGCAGAACAAATATAGTAGCGGGCTGGATTTGATGCAGAGCATGCAAGGGGGAAAAAAGAATAAATAATGGCCTTGTATCTTGAACAACCCCCCCCCCCAAAGGGTGAAACTTCATGAGTAACTCAGAAACATTTTGCTTGTGTGACCACAGCCTTAGTTGAGCTCCTGGTCAAGTAATATTTAGGGATTTGTGGAACCCTGTGGGTGGCCTTCAAGTGTTGCAAATTATGACTGCAAAATTATTAGATATGGAATCTACTAACTTTTCTGGGGGTTTTTGGCCATTTTTCCCTTCAGATTTTACAAGGCAATATGCCCTGAAGTGGGGCTACATTTATTTAATGGAAAATTGTTCTGAAATCTACAAGAACCGGTATTTTGAAGGAATGGAGTGTGCAGGTAAGCATGAACTCCATCCATTTGACACCTACCTTGATGAAAATTAATCTAGTATTGCATATGCACAATGATAGGCCAACATCTTCTTGAACATCTCTCTCCCCCACCTCCAATTCATTGGCACTTTCTATCATGGTAAGAACATTAATTTAGCAGCCTGGAGCAACCACCAGTTTATCATCTGTAGCAAATATGTCTCAATCTTTTGGGAGGAAAATCCCTGGTTGTGTCCACTGCAAGCTATTATCGTCATCACAATAATTGGGCACTAGTTAGGTCTACAAAGGAAATGGCTGGTTGACTACATCATGCACAGTGGCACTTCTTTGGTCTGAATCCCCAGTGTCTCTTCCACAAAGGCTCCTTTCCGGGGCCTGAACAGATGCATTGGTGAGTTTTGCAATTGGGAGCAGAGCTAACCTCAGCAGTAAAGCCAGTGTGACTATCCTCTGTTCTTTCCACTAGATCAGTGTTTATGTACCTGAGAAAGGTGTCTGTGTGTCACAACGTGTTTTCTTGGGGTGGTCGTGGGTCACCCTATATCTGTTGTAGCCCTTGTTGAATAATTTTTTCCTTGACTTTTCAGAGCAGGATATTAAAACTAGCATGTTTGTGTGTGTATGAGAAACAGGCCCTTGAGTTAGAAAGAAGCGTCTACGTTTTGAGAAAGGACGACTTTACCCCATAAAAAACAATTTTAATGCAAACATGGTGGTGGTTACTCGCAGGTTACTTAGTTATAAAAGGGAGTCACAACTTGAGAAAGGTTGGGAACCACTGCACTAGCTGATGATGCAACACTGGAAGGAAACCGTGAACTCTATTTGTTAGCTGCTGTGAAAAGACAGCAGCTTTGCCCCTTTGGAAGGATGATGTGGTGGTCTTGCCCATTTTGGCCTTAGGTCCAAATATATTGCTTATATTGGTTGAAATCCTGTTGCCATAAATTACTCTGCATAAGGCTGATGATGTCATCATCAGTAGCAATATTTCAGAAATTAAGCCTTTCCAACTGCTGTGCTAAATCTCCTGATGCTTCTGTGTAATCTTTTTCATCTTTGGAAAGCTACGGATATGGTGCAATGGGGGGGGGGGAAGCCTTTAATTACTGAAATTTGCTGCCACCATTATGACCTTACCTCCTGACTGTGAAGTTGTTGCCCCCTTCAGTTTACATCCATGTTGGGTTTTCTATGACATGTTTTCATCATCTCTCCCAGACACGCAACATCAATTTCTGGCCAATTTTTCTGCACGAAGGATATGTGCTTAGTGCCTAAAGAAGTGGATTTCATCCAGGAAAACTTGCTATTTTATTTTTCAGTGGTCCAATTAAAGGCATCACCTTCTCTTGCATATATATATAGTCTTTACTTTTGTCTGGAATGTTCCAGGAGTTTGAGAATTAAAGCAAGGAAAATGTCTTCAGTACCAAGCAGACGTACACTTTACAATACAAATGCAAGAGCAGGTGATACCTTTTTACACCACTAAAAAAATTTGCCTCAAAACTCTTCAAATAACTACCAAATAATTTCCATCCACCTTGTCACCCCTCCGTACATCACCTTCTTGTAAAATTCAAGTTTTGTGTTCAAGTGGGGAAGAGAGGCAAAGTAGCAATGTGGCAAACCTCCATCAGAGAGTTGGGATTAATATTTAGTTTTAATATTCTCTTCCTTTTTGTCTTCCCAGGTACACATGATGGTTCTGTAGATTCTTGTAAAGGTGACTCAGGTGGTCCCATGGTTTGTTTTGATTCCAACAATGTGGGATATGTTTGGGGTATTGTAAGCTGGGGTGAAAATTGTGGTGTAAAGGGGTTCCCAGGGGTCTATACAAAGGTGGCTAATTATTTTGATTGGATTGGTCGCTATACCGGAATGTCTCTTATTGCTCAACATAACCAGTAATAGTAGAATGCAAACTATTTTTCCTTTCTGCCTTACAATAGACTATGATTGATTAGACCACTGGAGGGTTAATCTAGCCAAGGTTAAGGTTTTCAAAGGCCCACCTGCTTCAGTGAAGGAGATGGACAGCAAAATCCTCAGAAGTAGGTTTTGTGAGTTTAGTTAGACTTCTTCTCACGTAAGTGTTTTCACTTAATATTTGAGATTTATTCTCATGGGGCCCAAAATCACTTAGCCATTTCTTCGTCCTGTCTCGGGAGATTAGCACTTATGTCTTGGGAGATCTTGCATTTAAATTTAAACTTGCCATGGAGTTTCATAAATGATTATAGCATATTTGTTGTACACGGACTGTATATTCAAATAAAAGTGATGCATATGCCAAGCAATTTATTTTCTTTAAGTGGGGTTTGTATTGAGATTTGCTAAGCATGCTGCAATGTTGACAAGATTATATAATACCTATCAACAGAAAATATGTCAGGCATCTTAGGTTAGAATCCTACAAACCTACATTTCAGTGTTCTCTAGAAGACACAACATTCTAAATCAAGGAAGTCAAAAGATATTAAACTACATGGTTATTTTCTTCTGTTGACTGAGCAAAAACAAAGTGTGCTGTTTATGTACAGTGATGCCCTGCATAGCGAGGTTAATCCATTCCAGATTAACCGTCGCTATGGGGAAACATCGCTATATGGAACGGAAAACGCCACAGAAACGCATTAAACTTAGTTTAATGCGTTCCTATGGCTCCTAAACTCACCGTTCTGCAAAGTTTCCCCATAGCACCGCCATATTCGCACCCTCGATAAGCGAGGGCAGGGCGCGAAAATGCTGCACATGGCCATTTTGGGCGTCCGGCGGCCATGTTGGAACCGCCGAACAGCTGTTAAAAAAACATCGCAATGCGAAGATCGGTAAGCGAAACGCTTACCGATCTTCGCAATGCGAGTTTTTCCCTATCTAAACATCGCAATGCGATCGCTTTTGCAATCACAATTGCCACGTCACTATGCGGATTCATCGTTAAACGGTGCCTTCGTTAAGCGAGGCACCACTGTACTATCCCATACCGCTTAAAGCATTCTTTGGAATATTTACAATTTAATTGTGTAGGACGGTTATACGTTGCCCCAACAAGCCAGGTATTCAGTTTACCTACCTTTAAGTATGGAAGGGTGAGTTAATTCCAAATTGGTATAACTAATATTTTTCTGGTTACTTTGCCATGAGTGAAAATAATAGTTTATTCTCATCTTCTGAAGAGAGATAGAGCAAGACTGGAAGAGCCAGGCTGGAGCCAGTAAATAATGTATACTCAATGCCCAAATGAACTTTGTCATGAACTTTGTCAGCCGCCCAGAGTGGTCGACCAGACCAGATGGGCGGGATATAAATCAAACAAACAAACAAACAAACAAATACCTGATTCGGCCTACTCTGGGGCCACTTACAAGGCTAAGTAACAGGAATTCAGCCCCTAAATCCTATGATTTTCAACCATTTATTCCAGCTTTTCTCGTAACAAAAAAGAGAATTCTCTTAAGGAGGGAAATAAGTTTGATGCTTTGTAAATACAGTGGTGCCCCGCATAGTGAGGTTAATCCGTTCTGGATTAACCATCGCTATGGGGAAACTTCGCTATGCAGAACGGAAAACGCCATAGAAACGCATTAAACTTAGTTTAATGCGTTCCTATGGCTCCTAAACTCACCGT